TTGTTCTTTAACTATATATTTTTTAAAATGTGTTCGACACTTTCTGAGTATTTCATTCTGACGTAAATAAGACAACGTTATAATTATTATATTATATTATATAATTAATATTTCTATTACTATTTTTCCACAAATTACTTCCATCTTTTTGACTACAGAGCCCCAATCCAATACAAAGACTCAAAGAAATAACATGGCAACAAACAGTGGAAAATAAAGTATAATAATATAATAATAATTTTAGTAGTTTGTATTGTATGGAAGCTTGTTTCCACCACAAAAATTCACTTTTACTCACAACTAAAAGTATAAACTCGCAACTGTGAGTTACAAAATTGCAAGAAATTAAGTCAGAATTATGAGATATAAGGTCACAATTACTTTTCTTTTTTTCTCGTGGTGCCTCCAAACATTATTATATATTTGTCGCAAAATGTTGTGTACTTATTCCTTATAAAATTAATTTCAAATATTTACTAAAATGGGATCTTGTACAACTTTACCATTCCAATGTCAAAAATATTGCTGTCTGCTCTATTGTTGTACATTAAAACATGACAAATTAAACATTGACTTTAATTGACTGAAAATAGCTTATAATAAATCCAGTTGAAGTGATGCGTTCATGAATACTGTTATAAATAATGGCCGGAGGACTGCATGAAACCAGTACTGACATTTCACACGCATTTCAGCAGTTTGATTCATGAGAAATTGCAAAACAAATCAAATGAGCTTCCACTGATTTGTTTCATGAAGGCAGGAACACAGAAGTGTTTGAATGAAACACACAGATGTTCAGAACAGCAGGTGTAAAAGGGGGAAACCCATATGAACACACACATATTTGCATGACAGATGAGATGCCTGAAATGAACCATGAAGAAGAGAGTTTCATTCAGTGTTGATGACTAAAATTACCAACCTGAGAAGACAATTTATCTAGAAACTTCAAATGCCTATTTTTTGCTTTAGGTTAGGGGTTCGTAAGCGACAGATCATGATGTATATGCATATGAAGCGTTTTTGAGATTCATATATTGGTCTCTTCAAGAATACCAGTCAAACTGGGGGCGCGTGAGAGATTTGACGTGGCACTTCAGAAGAACCCTGAACATCATAAAACTCAACTAACGTTACACCATTATGACACCTGGTTTATCGGTTTAAACTACACATTATATGCTTTACGAACTTTACGTATCTTCATCATCATCAACACCACAATGCAGAAATCTGGGCCCAGGTGACGGTGAAAATGTTTGGATTTAAATTGTGAATGAGTTAAGAACTTCTTTTAATGCACTGAATTCAACCAGAGTGGCGTTAAATTAACAGTTTTAATGTAGATTAATGCATAAACGGAGTGTGTGAGACTTTTACAAGCAGCTAAGTGGATTTGATTTGATTCAAAAGCTTTAGACATTCAAATAAAAATGGACTCTGTACACATTTTTTGGTCTGTTTTTAAAGTTACAATGTCCGTCTTAAATCTGCATGTTTAATGTTGATGTAAAAGTCAGAAGAACAAAGAAAGACAGGCAGAAAAACAGCTGGCAGAGACACAGACAAGAAAAAAAATGAGAATCCAAAACTATTTAACTCACCTCAAACATCAGTCCAATCAAAATGAAAATAACCAAACTAAAGACAATGTCCGCGTGATTCTGAATGAGAAATTCTTGGCTGAAGAAAGGATAACTCTTATTTCTCCTGCGAAAAGCCATTTTACAAGTCCCCGATTTTCTGCTAGGCTTTTTTTTCCTCCAAATCTCAAACTTCCACGAATCACTCCAAACTTTAGTAAGCACACTGCGCATGCGCGCTTTAGCCACGAACCAAAGTTAGCACGCATGCGCGGTAGAAGTTAGAAAGGATTGGTGGACAGACTACTGGGTGGAAAATTTAGGAAAATGTACTCCTTTTGGTTTAACAATTTATTTAACATTCCAGATACATTGAATGTTAAATTTGGTCGTGTAATAGCCTATAAATAGCCTTTAGCCTAGTAATAGCCTTAAGCTTCATTTTCATAAAAATATTAAAATGGCTTAAATGAAATCGGTAGTGCATAACATTTTTATTTTTATTTAATAATACTTTAATAATAATTAAAAATTAAATTAAATAATCATTTTAATCGCGTAAAATCCGCATCAGCAATCCCTGTAAAATGATTTTTTTTCAATTTTCTTATCAGAAACGACTGTGATTGGTCCATCCCTACTAGCGCTGCGAAAAGTAACAAATACCACGTGACAGCACAGCAACAACTACGTATCGCTACAGAAAGTGTGTGATCATTTACAGCTGAAAAATGACAATGAAAACTTTGAATAGCCGGTTATTAAATTAAGAATTTTCTTGTAGATCTAACGAATTTGTGTTAAGCAACGCTTAGTTCACTACTTTTCTACAAAACACAGTGGCCCGGTTTAGATTAAACCGGATTTAGATTAAACCAGGATTAGGCCTTAGTTTAATTCGGGCATTTAAGTAGATTTTATAAACGTGGCTTAGAAAAAAACATTACTGGCGTGCATCTTGAGACAAAACAATGCCACTGTCCTATTTTAAGATATATCAGTGAAAGTTGCTTTCAGTTAAAACAGCCCAAACATGCATTTTAGTCTGGGATCTTATCTGTGAAACCAAGTGTCTTGTATTATACTGTATATAATTCTCTTTGCATTATTGTATTAGTTCAATGCCTTCCTTAAGCTGTTTTATCTGACACTATTGTTATTCTTATCCGTGTATATTAGTCATATAGTTTCCATTGTGTGATAGGCTATGTTTTCCTTCAATTTTATTTATGATGACTAATATTTTCTGTCTACAGCAGCAGTATAGATAAAGATGAGCTTGATGACTTTATTTCACAAGTTGAGACATATGTGCGAGAGATATATTAAGACACATTCATGGTTCTTGTGAAATTAATTTAATGAATAAATGGAATTCACCATAAGAGCAAACAACCCACATCCAGAAAAATCAAACAAACTTTCATTCATAATATCAGCTAATCGCTATAATTTATTGGCTGAATTTGCTTAGAAATTATTGCAAATATTGACCTGCCTTATGGGAAATAACCCATCACTACTGTTTAAGCACAGTCATCCTTCAGAAAAATGCATGCAAATAACAATTATTAGATAGTAAACACACTCTCAAAATGCTTTAATGAAAAACAATGGAACACACACACACACACACACAGAGAGAGAGAGAGCACTTCAAACCGTGAAAAACCACTCCAGTGGATATTCACTAAAATACCCCTGAAACATTATGACCATTCTTATCCAAGGCAAATGTATCATACATAGAATATTTTATCTTTCAGATTTTTTTTCTTCATTTTTACTACTCTGTAAAGATGAGCTCTAAAAAAACAGCTGTTACAGTAGAACCATGCATCGGCTTTATAAATACGTTATGAACCAATTATGAAATAAACAGGTTTAGCTAGATATATAGATTGGTTCTAATGCAGATATGATCATGTTCCAAGATGTGTTTTGTCTCTATTTATGTCTGTATCATTCAGGCAATATACACCAATGAATAATAAACCAGACCACAGCCCTTCATAAGAGTGGAATTACACACACACACACACACACACACAAGGAAGATTGTGCTTTCAGCTAAAACCAACAGCATGTGGATTATACTGGTTATGTTCAGAAGGGCATGTATACACAAATACACAGTTTTTATCTCCTTATTAAATTAGTATTTGTTTGGACTGCAAGGAGTAACATCATTTTGCCTAAATAACTGGATTAAAAAAGTAAAATAACTTAAACTAAAATAATTTTTAATTCCGAGATGATAACTAGATGCCGCTTAATTGAACAAGCAATGTGATGAGGTCATGTGATAATAATGTTACTTATTTAATGTTAGTTTCTTGTGCACACAAGTATTCCATTCTGAACATAAACAGATAAACAGTGAGAGAACTAAAACCAGAACAAAAGAAAAGTAAACATTAAAAAGTTTTTATCTTCTTCATAAGTCTGAATGTTTTATTCAATTCTAATGTCTTAAATATCCAGGTTCAAGTTTTTATGTTCCAGCTGCTTGTATTTTATGAATTAATGCCCTGTTCATTCATACGGACAGTGATCGTTGGAGGAAGCGGCTGTAAGTTGGCCGTAAAACTATTATTATATTTTTTATGCATACATTTTTACAAAATTTTGGGGTCAGAATTTTTTTTTAAAGAAATTAATACTTTTATTCAGCAAGGATGCATTAAATTAATTAAAAGTGTTAGTAAAGGCATTTATAATGTTAGAAAAGATTTATATGTTTCAGTTATGTATCAGTTTCCACAAAAATATGAAGCTGCTCAACTGTTTTTATTGATAACAATAAGAAATGTTATTATAAATCATCATATTAGAATGATTTCTGAAGGATCGTGTGACACTGAAGACTAGAGTAATGATGCTGAAAATACAGCTTTGATCACAGGAATAAATTACATTTGAACAAATATTCAAATACAAAACGGTTATCTTAAAATATAATAATATTTCACAATCTTACTGTTTTTACTGTATTTTTGATCAAATAAATGCAGCCTTGGTGAGCAGAAGAGATGTATTTCAAAAATCTTACAGACCCCAAACTTTTCAAAAGTAGTGTATATATTTTAAATATACATTTTATGTGACAACAAATCTGTTTTCCTGCCACTTCACATTCTGGAGGGGAAAGAGCATAGAAATTGCAGCAGCGTATAATATATCACATCATGGACGAGATAAATAGCCTACCAAACAAGTGTTCAACACATTATTATTTTAAAATGATATCCCTGAATGTGGGCAAAGACAAATTGCACAGAACAGTGAAACATTCACAACAACATTAGCTCCTCCTCCTCCATCTTCATCTTCACTCTCATTGGTAGTTGCCATTGAAGCTCATTTGCATAAAGTTCAAGACATGTTGCCTCAGAACTTTCACACTGGAAAATCTCTGTCAGTGTGAACGCCCCTTAAAGTTGGTATGGTAAATGCTGTTAAAACCCACCGTCCTCTTCCGGACCCCTGCGGGACAGAACCACCTGTCGACGGGGGCCTCTGAGGTGGCTTCCCGAACTCTCTCCGTTCAGTCCGGGAGCAGAGGTGTAGCAGGGTCCCGCTCGGCCCAGAAGCCCCCGGACGAGATCCCTGTGCATCCCGCCTTCTATGGAAATGGGACTCAGCTCGTCCAGCGTTTCCAGCCCGGTTCCAGAGCCGAAACCGAAGGGCGTCTCGCGGTCCAGACGCGGGTTACTGGAGCTGCTCGGGGATTGTGGGTCGGCGCTGAAGTATATAGTGGAGCTGGATTCGGTGGGGCAGTAATTGTGTTCAGGACTGTCCCCAAACACAGACTTCCCCTCCGGCGAGCTCCTCTTGCACTCGGAGACGGGCGACTCTAATGGGCTCTGCATTTCGAGACTGTCATCCTCATCCGGTTCCTCTCCCGCTTCGCTCACGCTCTCAAACTCTTCCCTGCAGTCGGCCATCGTGTCGTCACGGCTTTCCGAGTTGGACACACACCCGTCTTCAATGATTTCCCCCTTCCGATCCACCATCAGTATCCCGGATACTCCCCCCGCCCCGTACGCCCCGTTAATCTTTGCCGGGTCTCCGGTTTTCAGGGCGAGACGGATCAGCAGCCAGTGATGGTGACGGCACTCGCCATCCAGCTTCACACCACAGCTCCCGGGATGCTCCAGTAGAGACCCAGGAATCCCCAAGAGGGAGAAGGAAGCGTGAGAGGACGGGAAGAGGATGGGAAGAGGGGCCGGAGGAAGACTTTTGTCCCCCAGAGAGAAGGATGAATTGCCCTGCTGAAGACACTCTCGGCCCATGTGTGCCCGCTGACGCAAACCCTGAGAGATTTCAGTGGATTTGGGATGCAGGAAACGATAGTACAACATCAGGGATGTCAAACCTGAGAAAGATAGAGAGGAATAGATTTAATTTAGCTGAAAAGGATCAAATGCAAGTGTTACTGGAGGAGGGCAGTTATGCATCTATTGCAGACAAATTCATATTTGCACTGCAGATGTTCAGAAATGAATCCCTTTGATCACTTTATTCAAGAGTTGTCTGTATTTTTCTTATTATTAAATATGTATCTAACATTAATTTTTATAAATTACTCTATATAAAATGTATGTTATTTTAATAAATTAATAATGATTTAATTTTAATTATTTAATAATGTTAATGTTTTTTATCTATTTAGTTTAGCACATTTTCCTATCGAACTTTAAATATTTGTAATTTCAATATTTAAACCACAGTGACATCAAATAATATTTTTATGTAATATAGATTCAGAGGTCTAGCAGAATAATACACGAAATACACATTTGATGAATGGAAAATCATTTTTAGGAAACATGTTTAATTAAATTAGGGTGGTGATGGCGCAGTGGATAAGACACATGCCTTTGGTGTGAGAGACCCGGGTTCAAACCCACTGTGAGACACCAATGTGTCCCTGAGCAAGACACTTAACCCCTAGTTGCTCCAGAGGCGTGCGACCTCTGACATATATAGCAATTGTAAGTCGCTTTGGATAAAAGCGTCAGCTAAATGAGTAAATGTAAATGTAAACAGTTAAAATGCCTATAAAAGTGCACTTTCAGTTCTGCATTAATCTCAAAAGATTTCGATTTAAATAAATTCTGGTCTTTTGAACTGAAATCCTGAAAACAATGTCGGCGTGTGATCACAAAACTATTAAGCTGCACAACTGTTTTCAACATTGATAATAATCAGAAATGTTTCTTGAGCAGCAAATCAGCATATTAGAATGATTTCTGGAGGATCATGTGACACTGAAGACTGGAGAATTATGCAAAAAATTCAGCTTTGATTCGGCATTTTAACATACAGTATATTCACATAGAAAACAGTTATTTTAAATTGCAATAATATTTCACAATATTACTGTTTTTACTTCATTTTCATTTTCAAGGCTATCAGCCTTGATCAGAATAAGAGACATTTTTTCCAAAACATTAAAAAATCTTAGTGACCTCAAACTTTTGAATGGTTTAGTATTTTTTGATGCCAGTGGTTTTTAACAGCTCTTACACTCTAGTTTAACCATACTAGTCTACTGTATATGGTATTTTGCATGGTATTTTAATTTATATGGTATGGTACTTAAATTTATAATTTACATTGGTAAATTTCAGAAAAAGGAAGATTTGATTGTGTTGTAAAGCATTTGCCTTTTCTAATAAAAAAAAAGTTTGGCATACCAATGTGTGGTTATTCATAAAAGAGCATTTTTACTTTTGTTATTTTACACACAGGAAGATTTACCAAGTTAAACACATCACCAGTTTATTGAAATATTAAATGAAATATGTTTAGGGTAAAAAAAGACTTTTATTTCAGTGTAAATGATCAAACCCTATACAGAATAATGAAAAATGCACTGGACACTATGACACAATACTCTCACAATATGACACCTTTGTCATCGAGATCTGTCTTACCATCATGCGCTCAACACACACACACAAACTCTCACCGAGCAGAAAGCTGCACAGCACCGCAGTGGGGACGATCAGGCTATCCCATGATGCATCAGTCAGGATGTCAGATGCAGCCAATAGCAGTGTAAGATTCTCCAGCAGCATCACCTACACAGCACAGACACAACAGAGCGGTCACTCGATGCTTAAAGGAACAGCTCCAAATTCTGCATGAACTATTCCTTCAAATCCATATTCATATTCTGCAGAAAATTTTGCAAAGGCTCTTAGAATATGAGAGAGTGTTTTTGATGGTGTAAACACTCCAGAAAAACAGATCAAAACCTTATTAGCACAGATTCTCTACAAATATATCTCATGCTCTCATTAAGATGTGTGTGTTTGTACCGTATAGAATCCTGCCATCCGGAACCGGGACGGTCCGTCCTTCACGTTGAGAAACAGGAACACATGTACGCCTCCCAGAATGAAGTTAAACACGCGCCATGACCAATGACCCACATATATATCAGTCTGCTGGGAGACCAACCACAGCGCAGCCATCAACCAATGAGACGCTGGGAGAACATGAGACACACAAAGATTAAGACACTTTTTTGTTTGCACGTAACAAAAGAGATTGCAAGTAATTGTCAATAAAATGATGTCACAATCCAACAAAACTGAATGGTCGTAAAAATAGAGTTAATATAATTTGTGCAAATTATTTTTTTTATATATATATATATATATTCTTTAAATTGTATAATTTTTTCTTTTGATTTTTAGCATGAAATCATACACTGCCATTCAGAAGTTTGTGGTCGATACGATTTTTTACAGTAATAGTGTGAAATATTATTACAATTTGAACTAAATGTTTTCTATTTTAATGTATTTTAAAATGTAATTTATTCCTGTGATCAAAGCTGAATTTTCAGCATCATTACTCCAGTCTTCAGTGTCACATGATCCTTCAGAAATCATGCTAATATGATGATTTGATGCTCAAGAATTATTTATTATTAATATTAATGTTGAAAACTGAAAACATGCTTTATATTTTTGTGGAAGCTGTGATAATTTTTTTTTACATAATTTATTATTCTTTGATTAATATAAATTTCAAAAGAACAGCATTTATTTAAAATAAAAATCTTTTGTAACATTATAGATATCTTTACAGTAAATTGATAAAAGTAGCATGTCCTTGCTGAATAAAGGTATTAATTTATTTTGGTAACACTTTACAATAATGTTTCATTTATTTAACATTAGTTAACAAATTTAGTTAACCTGAACTAAGAATGAACAAAACTGCATTTATAAGTCTTAGATAATGTTGATTTAAACATTTACTAGTACATTATTAAAATCAAAATTAGTAATTGTTAACGTTTAGTCAATGCACTGTGTATTTTTATTAACTAACATTAACAAAGATTAATAACTAAATGTACTACTCATTGTTAGTTAATGTTAGTTAATACATTAACCCCAAAGTGTACAATACTTCAGATATGTCATTGGTAATTTACAAACGAGACCTGAGCGTGCACATCTCTGATCTTCATGCAGACTCACCCACGACCCCGATGACCCAGCAGCCGAAGGTGCGTGTGAACAGGGCGAGGCTGGTGAAGCGGGCGGCTAACATGCCCGTCCTCCACAGGAGCTGGCACAGGAGCGCTGCTGGTGGCATCTGCAAATGTCCCGGACGGATCAAACAACAGGCCCGACTGTAGAGCACCAGCGCCCAGGACAGCGAGAGCAAACACACGGCATCGCACAGAGCCACTGCAGATAAAAACACACACGGTTGTCTATACATGTCTGCAGTGGCGTGACATTGTTTTAAAAATTGGGTGAGACAGGTCAGTGTGTGTGTGTGTGTGTGCAGGGTGGGGGTGTTGCTAGTATAATGCTAAATCAGATATGTGTACAATAACAATTTTCGGAAAAAATAACATCATGTCCATTAATATATTTCAATAGTACACTGGGCTTAATTTGTCGTTTAATGAGATCTATGACTATATACTGTTAGTGCCGATAATTTTCACGTGAATAAATACATAGATCCGCGTAGATTTCCTGTGTACTTTAATGGTCTTGCGGTAAAACGTTTGCCAAGCGTGTCAGAGTTTCGGGGTTCTAATTCGTTCCGGATTTCACCGGAACGAATAGAGTCTCCTCAACGGTGTTAAGCGATAGATTGTAAAGACTGTGCACGAGCAATAGAAAACACTGTAAAACACTGATAGCAGCGGCAACAAACACACTGCTTGATTTAAAAACCACACATTTCAGCGTTAGATCGCCTCTTATTTAAGAAACGGACGAAATGAATGCTCTGCTAGTTAACCGGAGATGTTTTATTTATTTGTATTAGGTACAGTGTTGTGCCTGAACGCGTTCATTGAACCATAGTTCATGAACTCGTTCATATTTTGGGCGAACGTGAACTGAACGTACTGTATTACTGCCTGATGAACGTTACTGTGAACTCGTTCATTCTGGTGTCTGTGAACGCACGCTCTCTCAGTTTAACTTCGTTCAATAGGGTGCCAGATTTCTATAGAGCCTTCCAGGTGAAAACCCGGCTAAAACACACCGTAAACAGGCCTTAAAATGTAGCGGGAAAAAAACACCCAATCTGGCAACACCAGCCACCAGTGTCGCACGCACCGCCGCATGCGTCATCAAAACAAAAAGCAGCATGTAGTCGACAAAGCATGGAGGCTGCGTCGTATGATCATTTAAACGAGTTTTATGACAAGGTCGGTGAGGATGGGAAAAATCTTACATTTCTGTGCAAACTTTGCCCGCCGATAAAATAATTGCTGTCTGTGGTTGTATATGGGCTGTGGCAATAATAATAATAAAATATATGTATAGCTCGCAGCAACATATGGAAAAAAGACCTATGAACTAGTTCATTTTTGGAACTGTGAACTTAGTTCAAAATTGTGAAGTATGAACTATGAACTGAACTAGTTCATTTTAAAATTTGTGAACTGAACTTTGAACTAGTTCATGTAGAAAGTGAACTTTCCCAACACTGATTAGGTACATCCATGTCGCGAGATGTTTCAAAAAGTGGTGGGGACAATATCGACCCTGGCAAAAAGTGGTGGGGACATGTTGTCCCACCCGCAAATTTCGCCTATGCATGTTTGGAAGTGCAATGCATGTGTGTAACTGAGCTCAGGACTGACCTGGAGACGAGAGGCCGTAGCCGGTAACGCTGAGAGCGTACATCTGCAGGAGCGTCTGAGGTAAAGTCATCAGCAAGACCTCCAGCAGACGCAACGCAGACACATCCGCCTGCCGCATCACTTCCTTCGCATGCGACTGCGACGAGCCCTGAGCGGTCCATTCACACACACTGCAATCCCAAAATCTGACACACAACACACATCAAGTCAGCTTTACTTATATGGCGCTATATACAAAAGACATTGTTTCAAAGCAGCTTCACAGGAAGGACAAATACTAATTGAGTCCGTTAAGTGTTGATTTAGTTCAGTTCAATAACTGTTCATCAATTATAAAAATTTTTTCCTAATAATTAATTAATTGAATGTAAAATTAAAATAAAGAAAATGGGGCTGCACAATTAATTGAATTAAGATTGAAATCGCAATATAATTTATAAATACAGTTTTAGATATATAGGTGTTATTTTCATATTAAATTAAATGTCATATCGCAGTTCAAATCACAATATATGACAAAATAACTGAATTTTTTTTTTGGGGGGGCCAGCCAAGCCATGTCACCCCATATTAAAGATTTGAAAACGATCAAAATAAAACACTTAGCCTATTAAAATGAGATCAAATATTTGATCTGTTATTATCTGACCATTATCGACATCAGAGAACATTCAATTAATTGGTAACACTTCTAAAGCATTTATTAATCTTAATTTATGTTAATTTCATAATTTACTAAAACATTATCAAAATCAAAAGTTGTTTCTGTTAACATGAATTGGCCCCAGCTAATGAGCTGACAACGAACTGTTTTTCTACCAAATATTTTTTCTAAATATATTTTCCAGCTAATGAGCTGACATCGAACTGTTTTTCTAATAAATATTTTTTCTACTAAATATTTCTATTAGTTGTATTTACTAACATTAAAAAAGATGAATAAATACTGCAACAAATGTATTGACCATTGTTAATTAGCGCATTTACTAATGCTAACGCTAATGGGAACCATCAGTAAAGTATTACCCATTAATGATATATTAACTTAAATTCTCAGGGGGTACTCAAGTAAATATTTTACATCTGGGGTTCGGCTGACAAAAAAGTGTGGGAAGCCCTGGAGCAAATTAACTAAATTGTAATTTTTGAAGATATTATTCCTTTAGAAGCACAAACAAACACACACTCACTCACTCACTCACTCACTCACACACACCTTTTGAAAATGCCCAAGTGAAGAGTGTGTATGATGAAATTGTGGCCTGTGCGTTTGTCTCCGTCGGCCCTGTACCATCTGAAACTCAACACCTGCACCATTGACCCCGGTAACAAGAGAGCAAAGGTCAGACCGGCCAAGCTCAGCTCCTCCTGCCACAGGTAGAAGCCCACACAGCAGATCACTGAGGAACAACACACACCTGTTACCCAACATCTACATCTGTGCACTTCAATATGCTTTTGAATCGTATGAGATTATCTCTAACAAAAGAGCAGTGAAATGGGATGAGATAATATCACTGTAAATCCAGGTTAAACTGTAATAATTCAGTAATCTGTCATTTCTGGCAGTGAAGGCTTGATAGATCAGGTGTTCCACGGATCCCTAAATCTCTAACGCTGCATCAGAACAATATTTATTTTGAAAATTGCCCTTTAGATACATTTTAATTTGATAATTAAATGTTTCTGTCCAGTATTACATGTAACAATACTCTTACAGTGGTTAGGAAATTAAATATTTTCAACTTGATTCAAAGTAAATATTATATACATATAATTATTTTATATTGTCTTTAATACTGGCTATTATATATATAAATTCTTCTATATTTACTTCTATATATATAGAATATTGTAAACACACACACAGGTTTCTGGATGGTACGTCACCATGCGCAAGCAAGAAATATGAAGTGTGTGTGTGTGACTGTGTGTGTGTGTGTGTGAGAGACAAATATATATATATATATGTGTCAGTATTACATGGTGCTCCAAGGTACTTCCAAGTATACAAAAAAAAAGTAGTAATACCATGGTTTTTACATGTTTCTGAACAGGTATCATGGTTACATGGTATTTCAGACATGTAGTATTTCTGGGCGTATTATGGATTTTGGACATGTAATAATAGTGCCATTGTACTCTTTGAATGATCTTGGAGTAGTATGTAAATACCTTGGTAAATGGATACGGTAACGTTCGTTATAATGTGATGTGTATATATAGGGTGCATTAGATGCGGGTGCATTAGAAGCACCTGTGATGCGGTGTAAGGTCACTCACGCGCCGCTCTCTCCGCCAGCAGCACGAGCGCGGACGCAGCGAGCAGAAGCACGCGCCAGCAGCTCGACCACGCGTCGCGTCCTCTCCGCTCCGTTACCGGCATCTCAGCGACCGGGACGCGGCGTTGTTCGACACATCTGTGTGTTTGTTGTTGTTGTCAGCGGCGGATCCGGTTTCTCCTCTCCGTCGTCCTGTCAAAATATCTGACGTCATGCTTCTGGACCATTAAAGAGACAGTGACGCGCATCCGCTAATACATTCATATTGTTGTATAAATATTAGATGGATTTGTCTTATTTTAGTATATTTCTGCAATTATGTGACATTCTGTGTAGTCCTACCTATGGTTGCGTGTGTCTGATTATGTGTAGGTGTAACTGTGACCCGGATGTTTACAAACAGATGCTGTTTTGTAGGACAACACAAGAGAAACATGATATCCGCTGGACACACACACACACACCTAAGGTTAAAAAGAAAAACGTGACACATGTATTTAAAATGTAGTATAGTCTATTTAATGGTTGTTTAAATAGCAAAGCATGAAAGAAAATCATAGCACAAATTGAAAAGACACCATATACACATATTAAACAACTGTTTTGGGTAAAAGATATTGCACTAATAAATTATATATATTTACAACATATAAAACATGTGCCAGCTTTCTCCAACTTGACATTTATGAAAATAATCTTGCCCTGAGAATGGTTCATACTTAAAATATACCATTATCATATAGTCAACTCTTGTCTGAAAGCATATTTGTGTGGTTTTATTGTGTTCACTTGTTCAATTAACAGATATTACAAAAATATGATCATTTTGGTTTATAAAAATTTAACTTAAACCCAGACATTATTCAAATATACAAAATGTAATAAAGTGTATAATATTGAATGACAATCACACTACCGTTCAAAAGTTTGGGGTCAATATTATTACCATTTCAAATTTCCAAAGCTGTTTTCTTTTTAAATATATATTGAGCTGAATTTTCAGCATCATTACTCTAGTCTTCAGTGTCACATGATCCAGAAATCATTATCAGTATTGAAAACAGTTGTGCTGCTTTGAAAACAGTTGTGCTGCTTAATATTTTTGTAGACATAGTGATACATCTTTTCAGAATTCGTTGATAAATAGAAAGTTCAAAAGAACAGCATTCATTTGAATCAGAAATCTATGTATACGTAAATGTCATTACTATTGCTTTTGGTCAATTTAATACATCCTTACAGATTAAAAGTATTAATTCATTTCAACAGTATTAATTTCTGACCCTAAACGTTTGAATGGTAGTGTATATAATTAACAGAATCATTTTATAAATTTTTTAAATGATAAGCCAGTCAAGTACAAACAAAAACAATAAAAAATGTATGTATAGTATATAAATGAAACGCATATATAAAACTATAAAACAGGAAATCAGCATCTCTTACAAATATCACCTTCTTGTTGAAAACCTTTAGAGAAAAGAGGGTTGCATGGACAATTCATTCTTGTTTTATGTGGACCTGTTCTACCCAGCAAGCACCTGAGTCCAGATCACCCGACACATCCTCTTTATAGACTCCGCCTCCATATCGACCTCAAGGCTCTCTGCACCTTCGCTGAGGTCAAACCTCTCGATCTCGTCATTGGCTGAGTCCAGCTGAGAGGCGGAGCCTGTGCCGCTGGAGGCGGGACAGAACTGCTGGCGGTGGATCTGTAGGCTGCACAGGTGTGTGTACCTGCGAGGGCACTGCGGGCACTGGTGTGAGCGTGGGGTGGCGTGCAGGCGTCTGTGGAGGCGCAGGTGGATGTGCTGGGTGAAGCTGGCGGGACACTGCTTACACACATACGGGCGCTCCCCTGAGTGCAGGCGCAGGTGAGTCTTCAGGTTACTGCAGCTGCTGAAACGCCTGTTACACACCTGCACATGAGACACAGCACAGAACATTACATCTCCTTTGTCTCTCCTAGGCCCTGTTTACTTCTGGTATTAAGATGCGTTTTGGTCGATCGGATCACAAGTAGACGAGGGAGACACATTCCTGTTTACACCTTGTGTCTCTTTTGTCCACTTTCAAACACTTGTGTCCTGATTTCTTCGAGGGGAGGGTAAAATTAAAATAACTAGATGCAATTTACACATGCACACGACTGGAGAAAACAGAAAAACACACGGAGAGCATCAGCTTTAGTTTCTGCACTGACAGCCACAAGACCAGCCGAACGCTGTGAGTGTGTGTGAGAAATCAGGAGTGGTGAGAGAACATTGAGCTTGGTATGTTTTTCATCTTCAAAACAAATTTGGGTCTCCAGCCGACAAAGTTTAAATCCCTTCTGTCCAGCACGCTTCCCATAATGTTTCCGCATCAGGTCAGTAGGTGGAGAGTAGACGGTGTTTTGTGGCTGTTTGAACACATTCGGAACAGCCACAAATCAGCCACATGGAAGTGGTCGAAAGTGGATGAGCTCAAAAATTGTTAGACCATGTTTACACCTGTATTTAGTGTTGTGTACTTGTGATCCGATCGACCAAAAAGCAATGATATGATCTCTGTGTGTTCTTACATGGCATTGGTGTGGTTTCTCTCCCGTATGAACCTGGATGTGCTTCTGAAGGTGAGCCAGCTGGGTGAAATTCCTTCTGCAGATTTCACACCTGTACGGCTTCTCACCACTGTGAACCCTCAAGTGCACCTGGACATTTAAGTACAAAAAAGAAAGAAATATTAATACAATAATTAATTTTTTTTAAAGAAACACTGAACTCTGAAACTCTACTGACAGTAGAGACATTTATAATGTTAAAAAAATTATATTTCAAATAAATGCTGTTCTTTTGAACTTTTTGTACTTTTTTGAACTAATCCTGAAAAAAGGGAATTACGGTTAACACGTAAAATTTGAAGCAGCACAACTGTTTTAGACTGATAATAATAATAATAATAATAAATGTTTCTTGTGCCGCAAATCATCATATTAGAATGATTTCTGAAGGATCATGTGACACTGAAGACTGGAGTAATGATGCTGAAAATTCAGCTTTGATCACAGGAATAAATTACATTCAAATATAATAAAAATAGAAAACTTCCAATTGTAATAATATTTCACAATATTACTGTTTTTACTGTAGTTTTGATCAAATAAATGCAGCCCTGGTCAGCAGAAGAGACATATTTCAAAAACCACAGTATATATTCCAAAATATGAGATGGGAGAATTTTTTATTATTATTTCAATGCGTTTGATTTCTTGCACAAAAATGTTGCGTTCCCCTGAGAAACTTTCTGCTCGCTCACAAAAAACTCAAAAGATTTACGAGCAAAAGCAAAGTTTCACAGGGGAATTTTTCTTCCCATCTCATATTTTATTCCATCACCATTAGGGGCTCCATAATACGTGTATATATATATATATGTATATATAACATTAAATTATATTATTAATATAAGTAGGTAAAAATAATGAAATCATCATCTCGGACATCTTTTATTGAACCACACTGTAGCGATTCACATAAGAAAATAATCCACGTACCTTCAGGTTTGACAGTTGACTGAAGTTCTTCCCGCACACATTACATTCATACTGGATCTTTCCGTTCTGTCTCTGCAGTGGATACGGTAAAGCCTTGTACCCTGCAGTCTGTTTCTTCTGAGACTCTGTGACGTGTGTGACGGAGGAGGAGGAGACTCTCTTGGCTGTGGTGTCATCCACATTGGATACTTCCCCAGGAGAGGGATCGGTTGCATTGCTGAGTGTTGGTGGTTGGTTATGTGACATCTTTGTTAAGTCTTCAGGTTTTGTCTCTCTCATTGTAGAGTCTCTCACATCAATTTTGAGGTCACCTCTATTGGTCAACGCTAATGAAAGGTGATTCTCTTTGGATATTTGACTCACAAGAGATGGATACATGTGGATTGGTGGAAGGGGAATATTATGGGACATGTGTGCTATTGTTCGGCCAAATCCCATTGGCTGATGTGAAGGCACATATTGAATAACAGGCCATATATACCTTGGCATAGCGGATTGTGGGATAGCAGGGGTGTATACATGTCCTCCTACGTTTAAAGGAATGTCAGAGATGCTATTAGTCATCAAAGATGGAGGTAATTTAGGATTCTGCAGGTCTCTGGTCACTTTTTCCCCATATTTAGATTGTGTGATAAGCGGAGTTTGAATGTGATGATCAGTCCAGGGATTCAGATCCAGGATCTCAGTGACGGTATAACCTTTCTTTCTCTTCATCACTTGATTTTTATCTTGAGAATGAGCTAGAGCAGGAAATTATTCAGAAAACATTTGAGAGAATGATTCAAATTAAATAAAAATAGTACTTATATAATATATTTAACAAGAAAGTTTCAAACGATTCAAAATAAAAGAACCATTGTGACAAATACACAGCCATCACATCACAATTTTAGGCTGTAATCCCATTAAACAGTAGCCTGACTTCGTCATACTCATATTCTAGTCAGAATGTGAGTCTGATACTGCTTCATAGGGCTTTGATTATGAGGCGTGTCTTAACCGAACCAGGAAAAAAAAAAACTCTGCACTCAATTGGATAGACCTACAACCAATGAGAGCAACGCAGTAAGTCAACTACTTTGCATAGCAATGTTGTCAACTACAGAACTCAAATGCACGCACGCTGGAAGAAGTAAAATAACGAGTGTTGCTTCTTTTACTTGGTCCTCTATGAGTGCGAGTGTGCGACCAAAGGAGAAACTACAACGACCACAGGGTTTTCATTGCGTCCCATCTTCTTAGTTACCATCGGAGCCAGCTGATAAAATAAACTTTTGCCGAATCCCGTAGGAAGGACGGCAAACACATCTTTCCGATCGACAAATGCCTTGATTGCAGTTATATGTTCGTCTTTTAAAATGAATGCGCTGTCGATTTCTTTTACAACAGACGCGATAGCGTAATCGTTACATCTCAATTCTCCAGCTGCAGTCATCTCTGAGGGAAACCAGTTCAACCCAAGCGCTCTTTGATAACGTGATGATTACGTAACTGCAGATCATCTGTCCATCATCGTATAAAGCCCGCCCTGGCAATTTGATTGGCCCGACGATTTCTGAACCGATCATAATGGGCTATATGGACGCATAACTTCCGCGTTTGACGCAAGGATGCTCGTGCGTTTCCGGTTGGGGAGATTTAAAGCGGAGGAAAACCGAGGAAAACGGTATTATGGCAGAGTCTTCAAAATTTACTGTCCTCTCGTCTTTGAAACGAAACTTTAATACGTTTAGATGTAATTTTATATATAGTTATGTTTATTTAATATAATAAACACAGAAGCATAAACAAAATGAGGAGTGTCTGTTTTGTCTGTTTTTGTGACTAACGTTTCTTTAGTATAGCAATAGAGTATAAAAACCAATATAAATTCTCGGTATAGCATTGGACTCTACGATCGGCGGAAGTAATCCAGCATCCTTAGACCTTCACCGGAAATACCGCCGTGCATAGAGCCCATTACTCCTCAATGGAGCGAGTCCAGACCGAACTTCCCGATCAAAAAATGTTGTGGGCGGGGTTCGGGCTGGCATCCAAGGCTAATTAAACAGCACAATAAATTATTATTAAAATAAAATACATTTATTCAATGAGTTTGTATAGTACTCTTGACAATCAGAATAGCATGAAATTGGTCGTGGCTGTCACTCACGGTGTGTTGGAGGTGGCTGCTTCAGACAGGGTGTTCTGAGGCTGGTGCTCATTGGCCGCTTGTATTCTAAGCTCCGCCCCACTAGTAGCTCCTCCCCCGGCATTAGATCCTTCACTGCATAGAAGTATACCTGCATTCCAATTTGGAATCCGGCAAGATTCTGTTGCCAAGGAGACGGGGCAGAATTTACAAAGCACATCCAATTGCTGTCACTCTCATCCTCACAAGACAGGAAGTGATGTAAACGCCCCTCCGAGAAGATCTTAGCAATAAAAGAAAAAAAAATCAGCATTTACATTTTAACAGAAGATTAATAATGCATTCAAATATCAAGTTAACCTCTTCAATGTGATTTTTTTGGCTTTTTTTTATCATCCATCCAACATGCATCCAACATTTTTATTTTGCACTTTTGCAAAATTTTATGTTGGTATGAGCATTAGTAATAGATGCTTAGCAAACACCACTAATAAGCATTCTGAAGGGTTTAGGAAATGAAACCGCGTCACATTAGGCTTTTGCTCTCAGATTTAAAGTGCACATCTATTTGTGCGAGCGACTGTGTGAAAGTGAGAGGTTGTGGTTTAGTTGTTGATTCAGTCTGTTAGCTGCTGGTTGAACAGCCCGTCTGTTTGACCTGATGACACCTGTTTCTCTCTCTCTGTCTTTCTCTTTCTCTCTTTCTTTTTTCAGTTTAGTTCATCCTGTCTAATATAACTTAAGAGATTAGACTTGCACATTTATGAACTTACTTTGCATGCTATGTAGTCATATAGAGAGAACAAATTCATGTCCATTTAGAGAAATATTTAGCCCTCTAGATTAAATTTTCCAGGGCATTTTTATTTACATTTATATGGGTGTATTTTTGGTATTGTATTTAATTCTTCTATGTCAAATACTATTTAATCTACATATAATCATTAACATACTGTATAGTACCATTCAAATGTCTCTTCTGCTCACCAAGGCTGCATTTAATTTATCAAAAATACAGTAAAAAGTGTCAGTAAAAAATATACAGTAAAAAATATTCAAATGGAAAACAGCTATTTTAACTTGTAATAATATTTCATACTGTAATATTATTACAAGTTAAAATAGCTGTTTTCAATTTGAATTTTTTTAAAATGTAATTTATTCCTTCGATGCATTTCTGAATTTTCAGCATAATAATAATAATTTTCAGCATAATAATAATAATTTTCAGCATAATTTTTCTAATAATTATCAATGTAGAAAACAGTTGTGCTGCTTCATATTTTTGTGGAATCATAATTTTTTTTAGGATTCTTTCATTAATAGAAAGTTTAAAAGAACAGCATTTATTTGAAATGATTTGAAATCTTTTGTAACATTATAAATGTCTTCTGTCTCTTTTGAGCAATTTAATCCTTGCTGAATAACAGTATTAATTTCTTTAAAAATCTAAAACTGTCCTACTTACCCCAAACTTTTAAACAGTAGTGTTTATTATGTAGCCTACTGTATATCACCTATACAATCAAATCATAATATTGATTATATTCATAATATATATATATATATATATATATATATATATATATATATATATATATATATATATATACAGTATATATATATATAATTCAAACCATAATATTGCATGTTATACATTTATCAAAAATATCAAGCATCAAAAATATTGACTGAATTTCTGAAGTGTGAAAATCAATGGAGCTGCAAATACAATGATCTATTAAGGTTTTCTGGGAACCTTGTTCTCGGTTTGTGTGTGTGTGCGAGCTCCTGTCAGCCACTTCCTTGCTGAGTCAGTGTGTGAGATACGAGTGTGTAGCTTTACTGGCACATGTAAGCGAGGAGCAGTGCGTCAGAGAAACCCAACATGAGAACACACACCCCTGAAACATGACTTGTAAATATGAACCTCAATGACTCAGAATGGTTTTCAATCTCACAAAAACACACACACACACAGTTCTTATCTTTCTTGCATGCACATCTGTTGACGTACCATCCAGATGTGTTTCCGGTTGATGTTTGCAGATATGTCTTCAGGGTGGAGATGTTCTCCCTGCAACGGGCCGAACCGGGTCCCTACAGGAATGACCTCTCTGGTAAAAACACCCAGCACCTTCTAACAACACAATAGCAGAAAATCAGAAATGCATTACATAAAAACTATTTGCAGCAAAACCAATGTGTGTGTGGTGATAAATTAAGCCCAGGCTACAGATGACTACTCACACAGGTCTGACTCCGATTAAAGTGCCTTGTAATTTTTTTTTTTGAATGTGGCTTTGTTATGCCGCTTCAATATATATCCACTTGAATGGTTTGTAATTAAGTTCATATTTATCCTTCTAAATATTAAATGATTTGAGTGACATCTTCAAGCTTATGAGATTTAGGTAGTTATAGAAATACATGTCTGTTCACTGAACATGCTCTCTCCTTGTTTTTGAGAGAAGCACCCAACACATGTTAAAAAAACATATATTTACTTTTCTACTTTTCTCTTTGTTATGTCTCCTACGTGACCAATTCACAGTCAAAGCATTTACTCGACATGACAAATGACAAGAGAATAATGACAAATATTGTCTGAACCTTTTACTGAGAGAAAGTACATCAGTATGTTTTGGGAAAGTTTCCTGATTAGAGCTTGAGCTCAGCCAGCTCCAAGCTTGAAGAAGCTGTGTATCTGTGTGTGTGTGTGTGTGTGTGTGTGTGTGTGTGTCAGTATCCTTTGATCGTGAGGTGAGCATCTGGCACACAGGGGAGATGAAATTAACAGCTGACAAACAAACTAGAGCATAGAAACTCAGATTCGTGACATCAGTTGGTCACTTTGTTTATCTATGCCTTAACCAATCAAAACCCGACGTGATGACGTAGTTTAGTGACCTGTGAGAGAGTGTAATTGCTGCTGTCATAAGTGTGTACGCAGAGCGGCCTACGAACTCCTTGCTGAGTGTGAAGCTAACTTCTGCTGATGAACCTGCAAACTATTCTTCAGTCAAATTTTCTTTAATTGATTGCATCTCTGACTTCTGGTCTTCATTCATCATATCTGGTCCTCGGGTCTTAACTGTAAATTCCCCTACAGTGAATACTTGAGTGAAATATAGAGCATATTTGTGCAAGATCATTTAAATGTGAAATGTGTTTTAGTGCGCTTAGTGGATGTATAAAGTCAGTTCTCACATGTATTGGTTTATCATTTCAAATCTTGGAAACGTCTGTCTTACTGTGCTTGTGATATCGTTCTTTACAATGAATTGATACTTATGTAATATTTTGTACCTAACGCAATGACATACTAGTGTACCAGGCACCCTGATGAAGGCTTATTAGCCGCAGTGCGTTGGTGTGCGGTGTGAACATGTGAATGTTTTCAAAATGTCATAGCCATGAAATAATAAAGGCTTTTTATATTTTCTAAATTCTCAAGTGCCCTAGCCTCATATGTGTTTTGACATACCAGTGTTATTTCATTTCAATTTTAGCTACATTTTGAGTAATGTTTTTGTCTTTTTTGCCATCTAAAAAAATTTATTTTAGTTATTTTACTACATCAAGATAATCTAAATAATCTGAGCATGAAAATGGTCTCTTCTTCTTTTTCTTCTTCCTCTCTTGAAGTTTATGGCAGCCCATAGAACCATTTGTGGGAAATTATGATAGCCGTTGAGCGTACATCAGTTGTACACTTGTTATTGTGGTGCATTATGGGATTGAATGAGTGCACTTGATAATTTCAACTATGGTTTCGGACACCATTACTAATAACTGTCCCCTCAAATAGTGCTTTATTTAAGGGTGTGGGGGCGATTTCGGACACAGCCCAGAGCACTAACTCGGCAGTCGTCCACATACATCACATGTGCCACCAACTGTCCAAATTTGCACTGACTTTAATGTTAATAACTTCAGTAACCATTGGGCTAGAAACAAAATTGTTTCCTCTTTTTCGTTGGCTTAAGATGATTCAATTGCACCCTAGGACGTCATTTTTGGTCATGAAAAGTTTCATCAAAATTGGCTCGGATCATCTTCAGACTATGATGGCAAAAAAAAAACATTACCGGTAAAAGATTTTCGAAAAACCAAACCGTTCTCGAATAACGCGCAAACGAATTTAAACAAGAGCACGCCAAAATGAGGCTGTATCTCCGCAATGATTTGGAGTAATAAGACCAAACTTGGTACATGTAATTTCAAGCATGACCTGAGGCAATTTGCAGCGCTTTGGCACAGCGCCACCTACTGATCAAGAGATATGAAAAAATATTTTTAAATATAACTTATGAATGGCTTGCCCAAAAAACTGGTCTCTTTTGATTCAGTGAAGCATATCTAGTCGAATGATACCAAATTTTGCCTTGTTGACCATTTTGGGCATTGGGCATTTTAAATTTTGTCATAAAATGCTGTATTTTATGAACTTGGTATGTGTCATAAACACCATGAACCGACTTTTTCAAACTCCTCCTAGACTATTGGTCCGATTTTTTACCAAACTCGGCTCAGATCATCTTCAGCCTATACCAGCAAAAAGTTATTAAAAGCTTTTTGATAGACCAAACCATTTTCTAATACCGCATCAACAAATATAATGGCATGGTGCCCAGCAGATTCTGAGGCTGTGTAACTCTGCAATGGTTTGACATATTGACACCAAACTTTGTACATGCCATTGTCCCCTCACACTGTCCACACCACCTTAATTTAGTAATAGCGCCACCTATTGGTTAAATGGCAAATATATCTTTGTAGCCAGTATACATGTATGCAAGTGTGTACCTGATTGTGATGTGTAAATCTGAGGTTTCTGGGTAATGGTGTCTGAGCTCTGGTTTCCTTCCACTCATCAAAGTCCATCTCACATTGATCTTTAACATGACAGCTGCGTGTCACATCCACGCTCTCCTCAGTTTGCACAGCGATGCTCTCGTCTGCTGTGCTGGCGAGTGTTTTTGATGGCATAATAAAACCGAGTTGAGATTATACCTGTGTATGACAGACAGACAGAGAGAAAAATGGTACACATAATGATTTTGTTGTTTTATCTGTATTTCCCATGCAGTCGCTAGGGTGTTCTGACTGCTTGCTACTGGCAAAAATGACATGCATGATTTAAAATAGAAGTTTATGTATAAAAAAAAGATTATAAATAGTAATTAAATTCACTCATTTGACTTCATTATAATTCATAATTTGAATATAAACAAAGAACAAAATAGTTAACTAACTAACCAACATTTCCATTAGTTAAGTGAATGTGATTGATTGAACACTTGAATCTTTTACTAGTCACCTAAGAAAATGAGCCATTGAAAAGACAAAACTCAAATGACCAAGCTATAACAAAAATATATTCTTTGCTAACTTTACCATTAAGTTGTGGAAATTTCTGTAACGTTCAAAGCGTCCAAACATTATGGGAATGTTACTTTTAAATGTTCTCTGAACATTCTGCAACAAGTAGTAACATTTAAAAAACTAAAGTCCAAGAAGAAGAAAAAAACGCTTCATGAATGATTTTTGTGCAAAAATTTTGAGAACAATATCAAGGACCAGATAACTTTGAACAAACGTTCTATTAATGTTACTGGAAGAACTAAAGATCATAACTTTGAGAGAACCTTGCAGGAACGGGAATCGGAGATGGAGATCCAAATGGAGATTTTCCAATAATGATTTTCTCAATAATAATTTGCAATCAAAACAAGCGAAAAACCTTCAGCTGCTCTCCACATTTATTTTATAGCTCTATACATTAACTGTAGTGTATGTCTCCTTTGTGTCTATATTTATTTCTTCTAAAGGATTTGTGTCCTCTAAGAAATGCAAACATTTGTACTTTTCTTTTTTATTCCGATCTGATCAAAAGCGCACGTTTGACAGGTACATGTCATGTCAGTTTGATGTGGGAATTCAAACCAGTAAGAATGAAACTCAATAAAAGAGCAGTTCTCGCTCACACACAGAGCTGTGACCGCAACACATCTGAGCTGAAGAGGTTTCCTTCAGACGGAGCTTCAGCTGATTCATACGCTGCTCACACGATGTTCAAATAGAGTCAAATGTAGACTTACTGTGATGGTGTGAGATGAGTCAGTGTGCGTTTCTCTCCAGCTGTCTGTAAGAGGAGGTTGCAGTCAAGTTCTCTACCTCTGTTTCTCTCTCCTGAATGTGTAGAAACCTTCCTTTTCATTCACACATCACTTGACAAACTCCACCCTGATATCTTCCTCCACCCCTTCTGTCTGTCTGTCTCGCTGTGCATTTCGCAGAAGATCACATGGTCTCTAAATGACATCTCAGACATGTCATAATTTTTATATCTATTCATACAATTCTCATGATGACAGTGCTGAATAATGGACAAACGTATTTAGCTGATAGTCTACTTATAAATGAAACAAAAACTGTATATTCTAAAGAAGAAAACACGTGACGTATACAGCATATTATTCTTATAAGTTTTGTTTGATTTCTTTGTTGCAAAACTTACAGAACAATCCATTTTAAGTATCAATCAAACAAACACCTTTGTATGGAAACCTTTTCCGCCACATAAGAAAAAAACATGCTTTTATAAATCATAATTATGATATATATATATATATATGATAGATATATAAACTCAAAATTATGACATACTAAGTTATAATTATGAGATGAAAGGTCGAAATTCTGACTTATAAATGAGTTTGAGTTTTTAAGTCATAAATTTAAATATAAAAGTCATAAATATAACAGCGAAAGTCAAAATTTCAACTTTTAAAATCATATTTTGACGTATTCATAATTTTGACTCAGTATGTCATAATTTTAAATTTGTATCTCATTACTGTGATATATGTCATTTGTGAATTAGCATGTCATAATTTCGACTTTTTTAAACTTGTAATTATGACTTATTCATAATTTTGACTTAGTATGTCAATTTCAAAATGTTATCTCATAATTGTGATAGGCTATAGTATGTAATTTATGAGCATGTCATTTCGAATTTTTATGTCACAACTAAGTAACCAAAACAAAACCAAACAAAATTGTACTTATGTGGCAGAAATGGGCTTTCATAGCTTGGCAAAAGCATTAATATGAAAGAAATTAGTTACCCCAAATAATAATTAAAAATGTTCTGTCATTTACTCACCCTCATAAGAAGAACTGTCAAGCTTCAAAAAGTACATGAAGGTACCATAAAAGAATCCGATATTGTTTCTGTGCATTATTTCAAGTCTTCCGAATAATTTTGAATGATTCATGTGATAAACAGAATGTAATTAATGTCGTATTCACTCAAAATCATCGAATTTGGCGCGCGCACGCGAGTTTTGTTTGTTTACGCGCAGTGAAGCGAGTGCCGTGCCATACCATACAGTACATAGAAGAAAAGATATTGCACAAACAACAGATATGCTGCATATAATAAACATGGCTCATAAATATTAATTAGTATATTTGTTAATGTTCACCATGCGTCATTGTGTGCCCGGCGTGTTTCTGACTCTACCAGCAGAGGGCGCTGTGGTGAGTCAGCGCTCTTTCCCCTCGGCGAGTTTGTCTTTTTAAGGATTCTTTTCCTATTGATTCCGGACATTGTGCTGCGGCTCTCAAACACACTGCACTCCCCGACACTCGTCTCCTTTAATTTCATCATATCATTATTTCATCTGTTCATCAGCTCTGAAGATCACTGAATAATGGCTTTCCAGTATCCAAACTCCTATAGAGACGAATCAGTGGTGAGTGACTGGATAATAGAGAGAAAGAGTACATGAATGAATAGATGGAAGGATGAATGAATGAGAACAAATGGATAAAAGAAGGAATGAATGTATCGATAAATCAGTAATTGATAGATAAATAATTAATTGGCAAATATATGAGCGATTGACTGAAAGAATAAATCAATGCACGAGAGACTGTATAAATTAATTGAATAATAAAGTTTGGTGTTAATAATTGCTTTAATGAATAATAGGATGAAGGAAAGATTAGATAGATAGTCATATACATGTATTAATATATAAAGAATGGATCAAATACATAAATGCATAAAGGAATGATAATGGATGGGTGAATAAATGAATTAATTTATATTAGAATAAAAAAAAGAAAGAATGGCTGGGATTAAAAATGCAAAGACTGAGCGAATTAATGAAAATAGAAGGATGAATAAGTAAGTTAACTTATGAGAGACTGTTAAAACAGAAAGAATGAATGGAGGTCGTTATCTTGTGTCATTCTGACATTATTTTTCCTTAGAAAATGTGTCTGTATGTACATATATACTGTTATAAGTTCATAATCACTAAGACATGTTTATGTTCTTGACAGAAATTGATAATTGACGAGCATTATTCATTTTGCCAAACAGAAACAGGTTTCCACCTGTAGTGATGTGATCATGTTGCCATGGTGACCTCATTGCTCATGTGATGCATGTGTGTGTGTTATCAGGTGGACGACTATCACGGCTGTAAAGTGCCTGACCCGTACAGCTGGCTGGAGGATCCCGACAGTGAGAAAACACAGGTGATCTCACACACACAACACCTCGCCACTCTCCTCATGAACATCTGAGACATGACTCTTTCTGTATCGGCCAGGCCTTCGTGAACGCTCAGAACCAGCTGACCCTGCCGTTCCTGGAGCAGTGTGAGGTCAGAGACGTCTTTAAGGATCGCATGACTGAACTCTATGACTACCCCAAATACAGCTGTCCCTTCAAACGTGGGAACAGGTGAGGTGGAGAACAAACACTGAGAACAACGAGCGGAAAGAGTCTTTACAGGAATAATGCGCATACAATGGAAATCAATGCATTCCACCAGAATAAATCTTAAAATACACACTGTTTCGGAAGTGTCAGATGTTCCCTAAACCCAGCTCTGATGGTCTCGCAGAGCTCTTATTTTGTATTTTCAAGCATGCAGACTACCGGTTAAAAGCTTGGAATAATGAATAACTATTTATGCTCTTGAAAGAAGTTTCTTTAAAATACAGCAAAAACAACCTTATTATTATTATTTAATGAATAAAAAATGTAAATGAACAGCAAAATTTTAGAATGATTTCTGAAGGATCATGTGACACTGAAGACTGGAGTAATGATGCTGAAAATACAGCTTTGATCACAGGAATAAATTACATTTCACAATATATATTTACATAGAAAACAGTCACAATATTACTGGGTTTTTTTTTTTATCAAATAAATTTAGCCTCGGTGAGCATAAGAGACATATTTCAAAAACATTAACAAACCTTACCGACCCCAAAGCTTTGAACAGTAGTGTGTGTCTGTGTTTTTGGAAGCACTAAGAAACATTTCCCCCCTCTCCTCTAGGTATTTTCACTTTTACAACACGGGTCTGCAGAACCAGAGTGTTATGTACATGCAGGAGAACCTTGAGACAGAACCCAGCGTGTTCCTGGACCCAAACACCTTCTCCGAGGACGGGACGGTTGCTTTACGAGGTGCTGGATGAATCTGTGTTGGTTTCATGAAGCATGTGAGGTGTGTTGCTGCAGTGTATGGATGTCAGCTAAAGCCTGCTGTTATTGGCAGGTTATGCGTTCTCTGAGGATGGTGAGTACCTGGCGTACGGCACCAGCGCCAGCGGCTCGGACTGGGTCGAGATCCGCTTCTTGCGTGTGGATGGTGCCGTACTTCTAGAGGATCAGCTGGAGAGGGTCAAATTCACCTGCATGTCCTGGACTCACGATGGAAAGGGACTCTTCTACAACTCTTACCCCGAGCAGGAGGGCAAGAGTGACGGTAAAGACACACAAACACACGTGAAAAACAAATGTTATTTAAGTATTATTATTATGTACTATATTATATAATACTATTAATTAGGGCTGTCAAACGATTAATCGCATCCAAAATAAAAGTTTGTGTTTACATAATATATGTGTGTGTACTGTGTATAATTATTTTTAATACATACATACCCACACATGCATGTGTATTTAAAGCTGCTGTCCGTAACTTTTTTAAGTTAACAATAATCCAAAATAATTATATTAAAAAAACATATTGTGCCAGTGGTCAAAACTATCTGCTTGCCAAAGCTAGATTCAAAACGGTTAGCTTGTAATAATGATTTTAATTCCAGTGGTACTGGTGGGTTTCCGCGGGAAATTCGAGCATGTCTTTGCGTCATTACGTCACACCCGTACACATAAAGAAGGAGTTTCAGCTAGCCGGCTATACTGCGCGTGACGAGATGTTTAGATGTATAGGCTTTTCTCGCAGCACTTTACATGATTAAACTTATGGCATCCAGAAAGATCCAAACAACAATCATCAGTGTCAACTGGAGATTCAGCAGTTATAAAACCCAAAAGACTTCGTACTTCGGATTTAAGGTGGCTAGAGAAAGAGACCGTCTCATGCGAAGTTGCGAACACAAGGATTTAAACATCGGCGGGGCTTTTGAAAAGTGCTTGAACTCCGTGTTTTGAAGGGGTTCAAAACGGAAGAAGAGATGGCTTTTTTCTGCTGAACAAGTAAGACATTTCAATAGTTCAATCGTGTAACAGTACGTTTTCTTAATTCACACAGTTATGGAGTTTCCTTTGTTGTGCCTTTCTCGTTTTGCTATTATGGAGAATATGAATTCTGAACTACGCAGGTAACCATAAAACACATTAAATTTAACATTAGTCACGCAATGCTGATGTTGTTAACATGAACAATTTGAGAACAAAGTAGGCTATAATTTGCACGGTTGCTGTAAATCGCGTTGATTAAATCTAACGAAGCTTATCATGTCGAATGCTTTTTCCCCCTTAGTTGGTCAGAACAAAAATGGATGTTACTTACTTGTTCAGAAGACATTTTCTTATGAAAATTCTTATGTTGGTCAAACTTTCAAAAAGTGAATCTGTGATTCTGTATGCCAGTATCCACACAGCGCGGTGACTGACAGCAGCACTCGCCTCAAAGCACTGTGTTCATCCGCGCTGTTTCATGCCGATTTACAACCCACGTAAAGATGATAATTCCGCGAATCACTGCAGTTCCAGATTTCGAACAGAGAGATGGCGACAAAGAGGAAAAGCTACGGACTGCAGCTTTAAGAAATATTTGCATGTATATACTGTATATAGACTGAATGTAGCCTATATATAATGTATATTTTATATAAATATAAACATTTTATATATAAATAACATATTTTTCTTAAATATATATACATGTGTGCATTTATATACAAAATAATTATACACAGTACACACACATATATTATGTAAACACAAACTTTTATTTTGGATGCGATTAATCGTGATTAATCGTTTGACAGCCCTACTATTAATATTTTGCATTAGCATTTATTTTTTAATTTTAGTTTGTTTTAGTACTTTTTTCTTTGTTTAATATTTATATTTAACTTAAATTTATTTTAATTAGGGCTGTCGATTAAACTCGTTAATTTAATAATTAGTTATGGAAAAAAATAACGTTGAAAATGATTAGCGCATTTAACGCATCTGCCCCAGACCTACCTAGGTCATCTTACATTTCATAAAGTTGATTGTGACGAACATGAAGCAGGGAAACAACACACTGCGTGGTGGAGCCTATAGAATGCAGTTAGAATGACCCTAAATTTCAAGATATTGGGGCAAAAATGCCCCTTTATGAGTTTTTGTCTCATATTTATATCATATCATAATTAAGCAATATCACACGAGTGCTGTTTTTTGTCCCAAATAGCACGAGTGCAAATGTGATACTTAATTTATACAACAGTTCAATCAATAAGAAGTTAATATTCTGCTATATTTTAGACACAATTTTGTTGAATATTATTAACAAATCGTGGAACCAATGATTCAATGGCCCATTCATAAAGAGAGCCATTGAATGAATCAAATGAATGAATGACTCAATGACTTACTCATTTAGACATTTACCACCACCTACTGGCAGTTTTAGTTTCTTATTTAGAGTATTATTTCATTCAAAAAATATTTCATATTTCCATATTAATAAAAACCCATTAAAGGTATAGTTCACCCAAAAAATCATTTACTCACCATCATGGCAGTTGAAGCCTAAAAGTTTGTGTAATAAATTCTATGTTGAATCACATATAATATTTATTTCTAAAGCTACTTTTTGTAATGTTTATTTTTTGTATTGTTTTATGTGATGCTTTTCTCCTTTAACACAATAATGACTTTAAATGATCTATTTGAGGGTATTTTCTCAGCCAAATTTTATGTGCTCTTAATTAGATTAATTAATCGCCACATCATCATGTAATTAATTAGATTTTAAAAAAAATTATCGCTTGACAGCCCTAATTTTTATTTCAGATTTATTTCAATATACCAAAAACATTTTTTTTTTTTTTTTTTAGTTTAGTTTTAGTGAGCAATAAAAACACTGGTAAGAGATCTTAATCAAACTCTCTCTGTCTGTCTCTCAGGCACGGAGACGTCCACTAACCTGCACCAGAAGTTGTACTATCATGTGTTGGGAACCCCTCAGTCTCAGGACGTCCTGTGTGCCGAATTCCCCGATCAGCCGAAATGGATGGGCGGTGCTGAGGTAACAAACGAACACAGACGGTACTTCATTTCTGATCATGTTTGAGGTATATAATGTATGCGTGTGTGTTTTCAGGTGTCTGATGACGGCCGTTACGTGCTGTTGTCCATCAGAGAGGGCTGTGACCCCGTTAATAGACTGTGGTACTGTGACCTGAACGACGTCCCGCAGGGAATCACTGGTACAGACGCACAGAAACATTATTATTCAGAAATAAATACTTATTTTCTGCTCCCAGTGTGTCATTTCTGTCTTATTGATGCTAGGTTTGTTGCCATGGGTGAAGCTGATCGATAACTTTGATGCGGAGTATGAATATGTCACAAATGAAGGAACCGTTTTCACGTTTAAAACCAACCTGGACGCTCCTCAATATCGACTCATCAACATCGACTTCGCCCAACCGTCCGCCAGCCAATGGAAAGAGCTCATTCCCCAACATGACAAAGACGTCATCGGTGAGCTGAGATGCTGTTATTAGAGATGAAAGATTTACTTTCTTAATAAATGTCACAGGACTTACTGTGCCTAATTAATCTGCATGTATTATAACAAAGAAGTTTTTTTTTCATAATCTATTAATTAAAATGTATTTACTGTCTCCCACTTTTAACAGTTCAATCAAATAAATGGATAAAAATGTCCCGTCCTACAGAAATTGGTCACATTATGGAATTTATGCGTGTATATAAATTGTCATTATTTATAATATGTATATACTTGTATAAATAATTTGTGCTGTCAATAGATTAAACAAATGAACTAATTAATTGCATATTTTGTCTGTAATTAATCACGATTAATAGTTTTTAATATATTTTTAATATTGTATTAATTTCACAGTTAATCTCCAAATTAATGTGGAAACAACATAAAAACAACATAGACATTATATTTTAATATTTATTAATTTTTAAATATATCATTATAATATTTAGTATAATTTATTATTTATTATTAATTTATGTATGTATAAGATCTTTGTTTTCTATGTATATTATATTTATTAATTTTGAATATTATTTTGCCATTGGTTTGTTATGATGAACATAATTTCTCTTTATCTCTCTCTTTCAGTGTTTGCTACCTGCACATACTCCAGTTTCCTGTTTGTGTGTTTCCTCCATGACGTGAAGAACGTGTTGAAGATGTTCCATCTGTCCTCGGGCGAGGAGATCCGCACGTTCCCGCTGGACGTCGGCTCAATCGTGGGCTTTACTGGGAGGAAGCAAGACTCTGAGATCTTTTACAGCTTCACCTCGTTTTTGTCTCCAGGTACGTCAAGATTCCGAAGCTTCTGACCTTAATAACTCATTAATAACAGTCAGGTTATGCTGTAACAGGTGTGTGTGGAGTGACATGTGCTGTGCTTTCCTGCAGCGATCATCTATCACTGTGATCTGACTAAAGAGCCGCTGAAGCCACACGTCTTCAGAGAGGTCACAGTGAAGGGCATCAGTCCTGCTGACTACCAGACCACTCAGGTACAGCTACACACTTGCTCGTCTGTCTGTGTGACTGACTCTGTCTGTCTCTCTGTCTGTCTGTCTGACTGTCTGTCTCTCTGTGTCTGTCTGTCTGTCTCTCTGTGTCTGTCTGTCTGTCTGTCTGTCTCTCTGTCTGTCTGACTGTCTGTCTCTCTGTGTCTGTCTGTCTACCTGACTGTGTCTGTCTGACTGTCTCTGTCTCTCTGTGTCTGTCTGTCTATCTGACTGTCTGTCTGTCTACCTGACTGTGTCTGTCTGTCTATCTGGCTGTGTCTGTCTGTCTGTCTGTCTCTGTCTGACTGTGTCTGTCTGTGTCTGTCTCTCTCTCTCTGTCTGTGTCTGTCTGACTGTGTCTGTCTGTCTCTCTGTCTGTGTCTGTCTGTCTGTCTGTCTGTATGTCTGTCCGTCCCTCTGTGTCTGTCTGTCTGTCTGACTGTCTGTCTCTCTTTGTCTGTCTGTCTGTCTGTCCCTCTGTGTCTGTTTCTCTGTCTGTCTGTCTGTCTGACTGTCTCTCTTTGTCTGTCTGTCCCTCTGTGTCTGTCTGTCTGACTGTCTCTCTTTGTCTGTCTGTCTGTCCCTCTGTGTCTGTTTCTCTGTCTGTCTGTCTGTCTGACTGTCTCTCTTTGTCTGTCTGTCCCTCTGTGTCTGTCTGTCTGACTGCCTCTCTTTGTCTGTCTGTCTGTCCCTCTGTGTCTGTTTCTCTGTCTGTCTGTCTGTCTGTCTGACTGTCTCTCTTTGTCTGTCTGTCCCTCTGTGTCTGTCTGTCTGACTGCCTCTCTTTGTCTGTCTGTCTGTCTGACTGCCTCTCTTTGTCTGTCTGTCTGTCCCTCTGTGTCTGTTTCTCTCTGTCTGTCTGTCTGTCTGACTGTCTGTGGTATGATCACCTTCGCTTTATGTCTCAGTCTGTGTGTTTCTGACAGGTGTTTTATCCCAGTAAAGACGGCACCCAAATCCCAATGTTTATTGTCCATAAGAAAGGAATCGAGCTGGATGGTTCCCATCCCGCCTTCTTATACGGATACGGAGGTTTCAATATTTCCATCACACCCAGCTACAGGTACAATCCAAACCAAAACACAAAAACACACAGCCAATCACACACTTCATACATGCATCTCCCTCCGGTTCCTGTAAACGCCTGTCCCGTTCCCGTTTGTTTTTCAGCGTTTCTCGGCTGATATTTGTCAGGCATCTGGGAGGAGTTTTAGCTGTGGCCAACATCAGAGGAGGTGGAGAATATGGAGAGACTTGGCATAAAGGCATGTGACTGTAACTCTGGACTTAATCAGGAATTGATCTGTGCACATGTTCTTAAATAGACTACTAGAAAATTGTATACTATGCATTATATATCCTGCTTACAATTAATAAAAATAAAATAAAAATATATATATATATATAGTACGCTACTATTGAAAAGCTTGGGGTCAGTAAGATTTTTTACAAAAAAAAAATATTTTTTTAAAGAAATGCATTAAATTCATCAAACATGGCTTTATATTAGTAAATTAATCCTGAAAAATATGTTTGCACAAGAATATTAACTGTTTGCAACATTGATAATAATCAGAAATGTTTCTTGAGCAGCAAATCATCATATTAGAATGATTTCTGAAGGATCATGTGACACCGAAGACTGGAGTAATGATGCTGGAATACCGGAATAAATCACATTGTAGAATACATTCAAATAGTTATTTAAAATTGCAAGCATATTTCACACTATTACTGTTTTACCGTAATTATGATCAAATAAATGCAGCCTTGTGAGCAGAAGAGAATAATCGACCCCAGACTTTTGAACGCTAGTGTACATACTGCAGAAATAGTAATGTGGTGTATGCATTTGAAACATAACTCAGTCCGGTGATCTTTAACATGAAAAGTGTCTCTTACTTTTCTCTGTTCCTGTGCAGCGGGGATGTTGGCCAATAAGCAGAACTGTTTCACTGACTTTCAGTGTGCAGCAGAGTATCTAATAAAGGAGGGTTACACTTCCTCCAGCAAAATCACCATCAACGGAGGCTCTAACGGGGGGCTGCTCGTGGGTACGACACACACACACACACACACACACACACACACACACACACACACACACACACATACACACACACACATTTACACGTTTGTTTTCTTCTGGTTCTGATTCCTGACTCCTGTCTCCTGCAGCGGCGTGTGTGAATCAGAGGCCCGATCTGTTCGGCTGTGCTGTGGCTCAGGTCGGCGTCATGGACATGTTGAAGTTTCATAAGTTCACCATCGGGCACGCTTGGACCTCTGATTTCGGCTGCTCTGAACTCAAAGAGCAGTTTGATTGGTTAATCAAGTGAGTTTACTTTCACTCAGTCCAGTGTTGCACAGATCATCTGAGACATAAATGCATGTCAATTAAAGCAGCACGGCACTCTGTGATTTTTACCCCATTAACTGTGGTAAAATCTTTGAAATGCACAATGTCAAATGGATAATTGATTTTATAGTATGGTGGCAACAGCAGTATGATTAAAATATGTAATGCATTTATTAATATACCTTATTACATTTCTTTTTCTAATATACCTTAAATGAAAACCTATATTAATATACTTTTATAAATATTTTTTTTTTATAATATACCGCATTGGTGTTAACTAAATAAAAAATCATAATAAAATATAAATAGATGAAAAACGAAAATGATTAATGTTTCCTTGGTAACTAACTGAAATAATTAAAAAAGTACTGAAATGACTAAAACAAACAAACCAAAGCTAAAATAGTAGAGCTGCATGATTAACACGTATATCAGTTTTATTCTTAAATGACAACGATTTTGCTATGCCTATTAAAACTTTGACAAGTACGATCACAGCGAACCGGTATAAAACAGCGTCTTTTCAACCACAAAGTATCATAAAATCTGTGTTACAGTAATTAAAATGATCTCAGAAGTACTGGGAAATAAAGTTTATAGTTCGAATATACGCACTGGTGTCTACGGAAGCGATCAAAATAGAGTAAATCACCTTTTCCAAGCAACTAATTATTGTATCAATTACACCAGTAGGTGGCGACAAGTGACTGTTAAAAATACATTTTTCATTGAATCATTCGTTCAATAAATTTGTTCAAAAACGCTGATTCATCCAGTAATTAAACAATTTAAGTTTTTATGAGCGAGTCATTAAATCATTCATTTAACCCCATTAAAAAAAAAATCAAAAGAATGAAATATTTTTTATTTGTTTTGTTTTTTATGTTAATTTATTTATCAGAACTGTGGGAGAATCGTGATTCTCAATTTATCCAGAATTGAGCATCTCTACTAAATAGAAATATATATTTTTTTTAAAACGAATAATACAAGCACATAGAATTGCTAAAACCTTACGTAAAATGCTAAAATGAAAAAGGTAATTAATAATAGTAATAAATGCTGTAATATAATATAAATAAAATTACTAAAACTAAAATAATACCATTGATTTGCTCATCCAGTTCGAATATAACCCACAATTTGTTTTATATGTAATTTGTGTAATGTCAGCACACCAACTGAATATGTTGCATTAAAAGTTTCTTATTTTCAATATAGTGAAAAGATTTGTTAGATTTTATTTAGCCTTTTGTTTTGTTGTGCATGCATTTTATTGTGTATCACTGACATGACTGCAAAAACACTCAATAGCTGTCAACTTTCTGATCCTGCAGGTATTCTCCTCTTCACAATATCCGTGCTCCGGAAGGGGACGGGGTTCAGTATCCCGCTGTCCTGTTGTTGACGGGCGACCACGATGACCGCGTGGTGCCGCTGCACTCATTAAAATACATCGCCACCCTGCAGAATGAGATTGGTCACTGTCCCGGCCAGTCAAACCCTCTCTTTATCTACGTGGACACTAAGTCAGGCCACGGTGCAGGAAAACCCACCAGTAAAGTCATTCAGGAGGTGGCGGACACGTACGCCTTCATCGCTCGCTGCCTGAACCTCAGCTGGCTCGAATGAAACGTTACGAGGCTCTGAACCTCCTCTAAGCTCTAGTCCTGCAGGTTTCTTCTTCTTACAGTTTGATTTCCTTCTCGCCTGTTTGCGCTCCTGTTCACTGAAATGTTCACTTTTCTTGGTCTCTGTCTTTCCCACTCCTCCACGCTTTCATTATTCGATGTGTTACTTTCTAGTAGAAACGCTAAAACCATTTCAAACGACTGAATGCTATAACCTGAACTACATTCATGACTGGTTTCATATCAATTTACTAGGGATACACTGGGCTCTTGTTCTTAGGAAATATTACTGAGGTCACGGGGTGAAGTGTCATAACCTCTCAAGCACTTTACTAAAACTGTATTTATTTGACGACGGAAAGGCATGATGAGTTTATGGATCACTGCGTCGCTTCAATGTACGGCAGCCATCAAGAAATCATTTTGTGTGTGAATCTCATGAAAACATGTTCAGAGCCCATTTTACCCCCAATACTAAAAGAAACAAATGTTAATTACGCATAAAGAAAATGAAGCCTGTTTTTTAGGATTTTTATTCTTTGTTACACTTATTTTTAATGGCAGTTAAGTGCATTTAAACTAGGGGTCGAGTGTGATGAATTTATTATTCATAACTGTAATCTGTCTGGACATTGTTATTCAAATCAGCATTAATGTGTATATAAATACTTTGTAATGTAATGGGTTTTTTTTTTGCATTACTGTAATAATTTTTTTCATACAGTATTGAGAATCGGGGAGGATGTCACGAAAATGTCACATATTATTTCTTTAGATTGGAGTTGAAATATAACCTGAGCATGTTTCATAACATGAGATTCACCTTTACAGTGTTTGTGAGTATGTGTTCATTTGTGTGAATGAGCTATAGAAAGAAATCCGTTTCTACCTCCACATTTATGCAGATTGTTTTAACTTTAAAGGGAAAAGCAAACAAAATAACATGGTACAATAAAACACATTTGAACATGAACTGTGTGTGTATTCAGTAAGATCAGAAGGTAACAGTTGTTTGTTTACTATTAGATTATTTCACTGGGCCAGGCAGAATTAGCATTTTAAATGCATTTTTATAATATATATATACACTCCAAATCAGGTAGTTTTACTCACAGTATCAGTGTGAATTGAATTTCTGCAGCGTCTCGCTGTCTTCCTCTGCTGGCTGGTGGCAGGATTACATTCCCACATCCCATTAAAAAAAACAAAAGCAGGTTCAGCATTATCTTATATCACTATATGGCTATTTTAGGATCATTATAATGATGTGTAATGATTTTGTTATTGGCTTTTCATGAGCTTGTCTATTACACACACATTTACTTTATATATACAGGTGAAACTCAAAGAAATTAGAATATCATGCAAAAGTTCATTTATTTCAGTATTTCAACTTAAAAAGTGAAACTAATATACAGACTCATTATATGCAAAGTGAGATATTTCAAGCCTTTATTTGTTATAATTTGAAAAAAAAAACTTTTCACAATATTCTAATTTTGAATTTGGGGTTTTCATAAACCGTAAAATTTCGACGACGACGTTGTCAAAACGATCCCCATTCACATGGACCCGCGAAACGATTAAAAACGCTGTATTATTAATGCCAGGCCAATGGTTGGCGATGTCAGTTGTATTGAAACACTATGTGCCTGAACACATAATAAACAACACATCTCCGGTTTCACAAATTCATGTTTTTGTAGTTTACACAGAGGTGATAAAGGTATAGTTTTCAAAAACTTGCACTTCGAAACCCGTTTTCAAAAGTTTGCGTTTTCAGGCCGCCAAAACTCGTTTTTAGTTGAAGACTGTCATGTAAACAGCCCCTGATTTTAGGGATAAGTTATGGATAGGGTTAGGTTTAGGAGTTGAAACTACATTTTCAAAAACAGTAATTTCGTTCCAAGATCAACTAAATATGTTGATCCAGGAACATGTCTGTCTTCTTGGCAAAATACCCAGTAGCACCTCAATGCAGTAGGCCTACATGAGATCCACGGGGAGGAGTCGGATCAAGATCCAAGGGGTGGAGTCGAGATGGGTAGGATTAGGGGTGGGTTTAGGGATTAGGGGTGGGTTTAGGGATCAGGGGGCGGAGATGGGTAGGTTTAGGTATATGTAAGGTGGGAGGAGTTGGATCTGGATCCGACTCCTCCCCGTGGATTTCATGTACTGCATTGAGAACCATCTCAAAATACCGGTGACCAAACTACACTGAACCTTGTTTGAAATTTCTTTAATGTGACCGCAAGTTTTTAGTATCGCATCACCTCAAGCCAAGTAAAAAAGCTCTGGAACAGTAACGTTCCTTTGTAGCAACGGTTGGTCGCTCGTGCGATTTCTGTCAGGGTCATCGTATAGGCTAGGTCACTGCATAGAATCATCATTACTCTATTTATTGTTGTTATTATTAGATATACAATTATAGTTTACATATTGAGATGTGCTTTGAAGTGCCTTGAAACGGGCAGCATAATTCAGTGTGTTGACAATTTTTCACTGAAACAGGAATACAGGGCGGGGCATATCGATCAGCTCCTCCCCTTTTAAAAATAGCCAATTGCGTTTCGTTTATATCACAGCTCGACCAGAGCCGTTGAGTTCGGTAAAGCAGCAGTTTCCTCAATCTCCTCCATATCACTTTGAAATGTAGCATTCTGTGTAGAATTCAAATGGATCCGATATGTTTTGTGGTCTGTGCTGACTGGCACATATGATCCGCTCTGTGTTATCTTGTCTCTGGACCGGAGCAGACTGTGTGTGCTGCGGTGGGTCGCATAACACTAATGGGAACCCAGACTTCATTCTCCCCAATGGAAAGCATATTTACACTGTCTGAATTGTTCCGTATCCCCTATATAGTGCACCATGTGCCCTTCCACCACATAGAAAATAGTAACTAAGTGACAGGTTCAGCTGCAGGACGCTTCAGATTCTAGAGAGCATTTGATTGGACAGAAAATCTGATGAGAAGCTGAAGTGCAGAGTGATGTCATCAAAATCATGTATCCATATTGGCAGAAGTGAGAGACTGTAAGTTTTGAATACTTATATCTTCTAAATGCGAATTATGTCATTGTTTTAGAGCACACTAGCTTATAGACAACAGTTGGCTAAGACTAAAATATTCATACTAAAAGCCAAAAAACTAAAATTTTGATTTCATGGGGACTTTAAAGTTTTTTAGTAAAACTAACTTTTGTATTAATCATAAAAGTATAGGCCTGAGTACAAGATGTTATTGTTCACTGTAAATAATTAGTCAATAACGCAAATGCTATTAAGCCAAGACACCCCCAACTTGGAAATATTAGGGAATTTTAATTAATATTCACGCAAGTGTTGTAGGCTACTTAAAATCTAAAAAGTCTTTCATAAAAAATACAGACCCATTGGCATTTTGAAGTGATATGAATCTCCAGCTCACTGTCAGTCCGGTGTTGCGGTGCGCGCGGGTGCGAGTGCGGGTGCGTGAGGATGAGGAGGAGGAGGGCGGGTGTCGCGCGCCTCGCTCGATGAGTCCGGTTTAGATCACATCACTTCAGACTCAGAGTTTCTCTCACGCGTTTCTCTTCATCATGGCCCCATGCGCTCCTGACACCGGTTCCGTTCCGTCCCCGTGATGCGAGTGATGATGATGATGGTGACGGATGAAAGATGGAGAAACTATCCGCGAGCATTACCGGACTCTCGTGGAGCTCCGTGTCGCTGCCGTTGGACGTGATCGTGAGCAAATTCCGCTTACCGACACTCGTGCGACTGAGCCACGGTAAGAAAGCATCAGAGTTATTGAACGTTATAGTTATAAACGGACTAGATAGGGCGCGAGAGTTTGTTTGACGCTGTTGCGCCGCGTCGCGTCAAAGATTCTTCAGCTTGTTGCCGAATCAAAGTTTTTCGCTTGCATATGAATAATTTTTTGGCTCTGATTATGCAAAGTAATTCTGGAAACACTCGGGATAGTTTGACAAACCCTATATATAGCATGAAACTAATGAAACGTTGTGTTGTAACACAGAATCCTCAGTGAAGTGTGTAGTTGACTTGTCTTTTGGCTAAAGGTGACAGAGTGTGTGTTGTGTGTTAAAGAGCTGCAGCTCTTTTCATATGTTAATGTTGTAATGCGCTGTAGTGTGTGTTGAATACTAAACAACTTCCTGCAGGAGAAACTCCAACATTTACTCAGCAATCCCAACCGAGGAGCACAGAATTAAACTCCCATCAGTGTCGACTGTGTGTGTGTGTGTGTGTGTGTGTGAAAGTTTGACTCTGTATGGTGGGAAAAAAGGTTCTGAATTGGAACTAAAATAATCAATTATCAATTACTGCATAATATGTGGCTGATATAAGTCATGATATGTGACAGCATGTTCATACACCTTTTACAGACTTTTTCAGGGAGTTCTTGTGTTTGCATTATAGTTAGACTCCATATTCTCTGGTGACAGTATTTAAAGAAATATTTTGCACCCAGAAATGAATTTTTTGACATTTAGGGGTGAATTCAGGGTGATTGGGACACTTTTTCCAAGTCATATCAATGGCAAAAAGTGTCCCAATCCCCCTGAATTCACCCCTACCTGAAAGTATTTCTATTTTGGGTGTGTGAATTAACCCTTTAAACATAAAACAGCTCTTCTGTAAAGATGATTGAATCAGAGGAAAATGAATTAGACAAGGAAAACAGGAATATCCTATAGATTTGGGCATTCTTAGAAATAAAACATGCTGAAAATGGTTCTTTTCAAAAAGTCCAGAACTTAATTTTCCATTTGGCCAACTAGCTGAAAACTTCAGTCAATTCAGTGGCAAGACTTTTACATTCGTGTTAAATTAAATTTGGCATTTAACTAGCCTGAGTAAGGCCCATTGCCACAACCATAATGGATTGTTATTTTTGTTTATTTTATGCGCATGGATGATGTATTGCATAAATACTTATAATGCCTGACTGTTCACCCCAAGAATGATAACTATAACTATATGAGTGTCCACACCAACAAACGGTAATTTTCTGGTTTATTGTAAGTGCGTGATGCAGCTTTATCGTCTGTCGCTTTACATTCTCCAGCTCTTTAAAGTCAGATGGATTCTGAATGGCTGACAATGTTTGTATAGTTCAGCGGTTGGAAAAAAGAGATACCAATGATATTGTTACTCTATGTTGTTATCGTTATAGTTGTGATGTGGACTTCAGTATACTATCAAAGTCTGCATAAAATCCCAATTGAAGTTTTTTGGCTTTTAGTATGAAAACAATGACAAAATTCACATTTAGAAGATATAAGCGTTCAAAACTTACAGACAGTCTCTCACTTCCACCAATATGGATCAATGATTTTGATGACATCACTCTGCACTTCAGCTTCTCATCAGATTTTCTGTCCAATCAAATGCTCTCTAGAATCTGAAGCTCCGCCCCCTATACATTATAAATAGATGCTGAAGCTGCGGGTGAAATCGGTCACTTGTTCACACGTTCACTATTTTCTACATGGTGAATGGCATATAGTGCACTATATAGGGAACGTCTGAAGTCTGTTAAAGTCTCGTTGGTGTCACACGAACCGACACAGTCTGTTCTGGTCCAGAGACACAATAACACAGAGCGGATCATATGTGTGAGTCGGCCCAGACCACGAAACATAATGGACCCATTTGAATTCTGCACAGAATGCTCTATTTTAAAGCGATATGGAGGAGATTAGGAGGAGAAACGGTTCGAGATTAGGAGGAAACTGCAGCTTTACCGAGCTCAACGGCTCTGGTCGAGCTGTGATATAAACTGAAAGCTATTGGCTATTTTAAAAAGGGGAGGAGCTGCTCGATTCCCAGCCTTGTCTTCCTGTTTTTCAATGGAAATTACGTCAACACATTGAATAATGCTGCACGTTTCAAGGCACTTCAGTGGGCTTTTAAAGGGTTAGTTCACCCCAAAATGAAAATTCTGTCAGTAATGACTCACCCTCATGTTGTTCCACCCCCGTAAGACTTTCGTTCATCTTCGGAACACAAATTAAGATATTTTTGATTAAATCTGAGAGCTGGATCACTCCTCCATATTAAGGGATCGAAACTGGCCGGCCCAAAAGTTATGAAAGACATCGTTAAAATAGTCCGAGTGACTACAGTGGCTCAACCTTAAGTTTATCAAGCGGCGAGAATTGTTTTTTTGCGCACAAAAAGTATTCTCGCCGCTTGATAAACTTAAGGTTGAGCCACTGTAGTCAATAGAACTATTTCAATGATGTCTTTCATAACTTTTGGGCCTGCCAGTTTCGATCCCTTAAGAAGCCTATGGAGGAGTGATCCAGCTCTCAGATTTAATCAAAAATATTTTAATTTGTGTTCCGAAGATGAACGAAAGTCTTACGGGGGTGGAACAACATGAGGGAGAGTCATTACTGGCAGAATTTTCATTTTGGGGTGAACTAACCCTTTAAAGGTGCAGTTCGTTGCTCAGCAGATTTCACCGGCAAAATTCAGTAATTTCAATAGGAATCCGTGTGAATGCGAAATTCACCAAAACGAAGTTTCCCATGCAGATTTCGCTCATGTTCAGATTCAGTTTGAGAGCTCTGCTTTATCCCTCTACTGCACGCATTGTTATGCAATCATGGGAAAAAAAATTACAGTGTTTTTTTATACATAAAATAGACTCAAATTAACATTTCTTTTTTTTTTTTTTTTTTTTGGGAGGGGTACTTTTGGGTACGTTGCCATATGGCAACATTGTGCGACAATGGAACAGCCTGATGCGTTTTCTCCCAAAATGATATGAAATTCAGATGATTACAGACCTGTCTTTTAGAAATGAAATCGTTTTTATTATTTAAAATGTTTTCAAGAGCTTTGTGTACAAAATATGAAACTAATTTTCAAAGTATTATTTCAACAATATTTACAAAACATCTGACGCAAACTCATAAGAACTGTTCAAGTGAAACTACTCAATGTGAAACGATTATTACAACAACATTTACAAAACATCTGACGCAAACTCATAAGAACTGTTCAAGTGAAACTACTCGATGTGAAACGCCTTAAAGCAGTTGTTCTCTCTGTTAAAGGTGGGGTATGTGATTTTCTTTTTTGACCATTTTTTCAAAATCACTTGAAATCCTATTCCTAACCCACTTACAGCCACTGAGTTAGAAGCACTGACATGAAAATTAAAAAAATTAATCATCTGTGGAACGGGCAGGACTCGAAAAACTCCAGCCAATCATTTCCAAGACCACCTAGAATCATTGGACAGTAAGTGCGTCAATCAAACGGTCGTACCATACCCCCCTCCCCCCATGCCCCTCTTCGAATGGGTGGAGTCAGGGCCAGCGTTGGAGGAAAGAAGGTAGGACCTTTTGAGTTGTGTATTTTCAAAATCTGCCGGCCGTTTTTCAAATCACTTACCCCACCTTTAAGGCAGAGGTGCACCTTGCACTTAGAGCAAACAACTCTGACGATGCCCTTGCAGCCAGGATTCTTGCACCTTCCTTTTGGTGCACCCATCTCTGGCCAGTGATCAAAACGGTCAAGACGGATATATATTTTACTTTTATACTTTACTTTTACTTTACTTTATAAATATATACAAATATATATAAATATATGAGTAGAATACAACCATCCAACTATATCAGTGCATCCATACATTGTCATTCATACAAAGCTACTCTGCATTAGCATGGGCAAAATATTGTTCCATTACCGCACAATGTTGCCATATGGCAACATACCTATTTTATTAAATAAAAAGGTAATATAAGTATCAAAACAATGTGACAATGATTGAAAAAAGATTAGAACTTATCCCAGATGCTTGATGTATTTTTTTATTCCGAAGAAATATGAAAAAAATGAGGAAAATCTTCACATATACACAAGCACTTTTTCAGCAGCTGGAGTCATCAAAAGTGTGTGAAAAGAATGACGTTGCAAGGGTGTGTGTAGTGTCGTGATGTCATCAAAGCATATCATTGGTTACCACCGGGTTCTATTATGAATTTAAGATCAATCAGAGCTCATGTTTATTTTCAAATTTCAAGAAATGTCCAAAGAAAGGGTATGTTGCCATATGGCAACACTGTGCAGTAGAGGGCTACAGTATTGATTGACAATGCAATGGACCTTTTTTTCCCACATAGTAATGAAATAGTTAAAAAGTTATGGCTTTAGTTATCGACCTTGGTGTGAACGGGCTTTTAAAGTGCAATAAATACACTACAGTATAAATATGGTAGAGTGACAACAGATGTTTTTTAATATTGTTCCTGTTGACTGTAATGCTAATTTTAACTTCAGATCATCTGCTTGATTAGATTCTGCTGTAATGTGTTTGTGTGTGTAGGAGGATCTCACTGTATCAGCACAGACACCAGTAATTACACACAACAGACAATCTGCAGTGAATGTGTCTGTGTGTTGGACTCGTTCGCTGTGTAAAGCATCTGTTTGAGACTCGTCTCAAGGAGGAATGCGTTTAATACCCGATCAATACAGTTCATCTCTCTCTCTCTCTGTCCATTCATCCTTTCTTCAGCGAAGAGATCAGCCTGATGTTTGTGAGGTGATGTTGTTTGTGTCTGACCTCAGTTCTCTCCCATAAACCCCATGTGAGGAAGTTCAAAGAACTCATTTGATGTTTGTGGTTGAGCTCTTGTGTGTGTTTGTGTGTGAGACTGACTGTCTCTTTGTGTGTGTGTGTGTGTGTGTGTGTGTGTGTGTGTGTGTGTGTGTGTGTGTTTTAAAGCTACAAATTAAGGGGAGATACATCCGGATTTATAGTTTTGTAGCTTTTGTGCCTTATGTGTTTCGTGATTTACTATTCCTGGTCAACTTTTATGGGTGTGTGAAAGGAATAATGTCAAATCTAATTTATTTATATAGTGTATTGTGATTTATTTATCTATCACAATACACATTGTTTTTCATAGCAGCTTTACAGAAAATCATGATGCTAATGTTTATATTTGATTTAACTCATACATTTTAATTTTGTTGATATAAATTCATGTATTTAAGTTGAGTCAGCCATTTTAAATAATAAAACCAGGTAATTTAGATAATTTGTCTGTGAAATTTATATTTTGTGACGATACAAGGAATCAATCTGTAGATATATGCTGTATATCCAATCCAATCCAATCCACTTTATTTATATAGCAAACAACAAGGTTACCAAAGGGCTTTACAGAAATAAAAATATAAACAAATAACATCAATAATGACAGCGACAACGAAGACCACAGCAGCTCTCGTGGTGAATCAAAAGCCAGAGAATAAAAATATGTTTTTAAACGCGATTTAAAGGTGTGGAGGGTGGGCGCAAGTTTAATGTGCGGAGGTAAGTCATTCCACAATTTGGGGGCAACTGCTGAAAAAGAGCGGTTGCCTCTGGTCTTCAGCCTGGTCCTGTGCACGTTCAGCCTCAGTGACCTTGAAGGGGTGTAAGTGTGCAAGAGCTCAGAGATGTACTGAGGTGCCAACCCATTTAGTGACTTAAAAACAAACATTAAAATCTTAAAATGTACAGGGAGCCAGTGGAGCGAGGCCAAGATGGGAGTAATGTGCTCGTGTTTCCGGGTTCCTGTTAACAGACGAGCAGCTGCATTTTGGACTAACTGTAGGCGTAAAAGGGAGGTTTGGTTCACGCCAATGTAAAGTGCATTACAGTAGTCCAAAGGGGTCGAAATAAAAGCATGAATCACGTGCTCAAAAAGATCAAAAGATAAAACAGGTTTAATTTTAGATAAAAGCCTCAAATGATAAAAACTGGATTTCACCACCGTGTTTATCTGCTTGTCAAGTTTAAAATCACTGTCAATTTTAAAGCCTAAATTGGTGGCTACTGGCTTTACGTATTGCTGCAGGGAACCAAGGTTTACGGGAGTGGAATCACAAACCCGGCTGGGTCCGAACACAATGACCTCAGTTTTTTTTTCGTTTAAATTGAAAGAAAAAAATAAAAGACATCCAGGCTTTAATATCCTTGAGACATTCAACTAAAGGAGTCAGGGAACTGTTTTCATTTCTTCTCAGGGGTGAGTAGATTTGCGAGTCATCCGCATAAAGATGCTAGGAAATACCATGTTTTTTAAAAATGTTTCCAAGAGGAAGAAGGTACAAGGAAAACAGTAGTGCTCCAAGAACTGAGCCTTGAGGAACTCCACAGAGAAGGGGGGCGGTAGATGATGTAGAGTCACCAAGTTTTACATAGAAAAAACGGTCAGATAAATACGATCTGAACCACTGCAGGGCAGTATCTCGAATGCCTACACAGTGCTCTAGGCGAGAGGTGAGAATGGCGTGATCAATTGTGTCGAAAGCAGCAGTGGGGTCTAAAAGCAGAAGAATAGCAGAGTCCCCACGGTCTGTAGTTAGTAAAAGATCATTAAAAATGATACTATGAAAAGCTTTAAAACCAGATTGAAAAATGTCTAAAATACCATTTGTATCTAAAAAGGAGTATATAGTATATATCGCCTTACGTGAGTCTACTGTATATATGCGGATAAATTTGGACATACTTGTATATCCAACTTTATATAAAGACCTGGTTAATAATATAGTTACTGCTACGAAATAGAAAAAACAGGCAGTTGTGGTTTGCTATACAGCATATATATATCACTTTACGTTAGTGTTCTGTATGTATGTGAATCAAATTGCATATAATTGTGCAGCGTCAGTGTGGAAAACTGTATGGGCAGGCGAACATGCTGGCACGCAAATTCCATAGACAAACATTTCACTGGCACTACTCCACCTAGGAATTTTAAGCACAATTCTCAGCGCATCATTATAAGCCACGTGAAGTTTTTTCATTTTCGACTTACTAAAATTACACCACAGATGTGCTGTATAGTGAAGTGCAATAGGTTTTGAAGAGTGAGATTTTAACATCAGGAGTGCACTGTAAAAAAAAAAAGTAAATTTACAGGTAATGGTCTGTATTTTTTTTTACAGAATTTTGCCGTTTTGTCATTATACAGTGAATGCCTGTTATTTTACAGATATTTGCTGTAATTTAAAGGTCCACTATTGAATTTACAGGTAATTGCTTGTATTTTGGTTTTACATCAATTTTACGTTTTTTTAAAGGAAATTGTCTGTATTTTTACAGGGTTATGTGTAATTTTACATAAAATATTCCGTAATATTTTACAGATTTTTTCTGTTAAATTAGTAAACAAAGAAAGGTATAACTGCAGAAATCAGTCATTTAACATGTTTTCCTTGAAGATGTGGGTGTTAAAGTGAGTTTTAAGGTTAAATAATAGTATTTCCGCACTATATAATAACTGTGATAGATCTAATGGTACATTTAATGTAATTTTACTGTAAAATACCATTCAATTTACAGTTTTTGAAAGTGAAAAAGAACAACTCATTGTATAATTTACAGTGAAAAACCGTAAATTGACATTCCCACAATTCCCTGCGTGACACTTCACATTTGATGTGTTTTTGTTGAAATAACTGTTTCTTCATAGTTTTCTTAGTTTTTTCCGAATGAGTTATGTATATTAGGGTTTTCTGTTACATTTAATGTTGTTAAACTAATGTTTATTGCATTTTTAAAATTTCATGTGTTACCATGATGGTGTTTAATGTTTGTGCGAATGATACTGTGCAGTTTCTGTATATTAGTATTAACACTTTTGTGGAAGAGCTGTTTGTGATGAGCCAGCCTGCTCTCAAGGCAATTCGTACGAATTCATACGGTTTTTGCTAATTCGTGCATATTTTACAAGTTACCAAATTTGTATGAAATCGTATGATTGACCTATCCCTGACCCCGCCCCTAAACCTATCCATCACGTTGGTTTAGACAAATCGTCTCTTGTACGAATTGGTTGTGAGATAGCGCTGAATAAGCTTTGAATGATCATGTGACTCTCATCACCTCTGTGGTTGTTGGTTGACAGTGTATTACAACGGTACAAGACAGATATTAATACTTCAATAGGTCAGTAAATTAACATTATATCAGATAATGAAAGATATTTTTGTGTAGAATAACAGTAATAAACCATAATTATAGGATAAGAAATTACCATTTTTTTACAGTTTTTTTTCCTGACAGTATTTTTCCGTTTTTTAACAGACATTTTCTGGCGCCCCAGCTGCCAGAATATTTCCGTTTTTTTACGAGTTGATTTTTTACTGGTATTTCACGGTATTTTTCTGGCGCCCCAGCTGCCAGAATATTTCCGTTTTTTCACCTTTTTTTTTTCTAACAGTGTAACAATGTGCCCACTTTTAATGCTGTTTTAAGAAATTGTATGTATAGATTCATGTGCAGACTGACATTAAGAATATTATCATTGTGTCCATAGCTGATGTTTCTAAGAGTGACACAAGGTATACATCTTGTTTTTGGAAACATTGGACCCGAAGCCTGTATATGTTTTATAAATGATGCCACTTCCGCATCATTTTTTACTGTTTGTATTGTTATTTATTTATATATATCTGTACGGTGTTGTCTCTATGGACCTTTGTGTCTTGAATAAAAGTCGATTGAATACAACTTTATATACAGTATATCGCTAGGCGATAATATAGTTTACTGTACATTTTTCAACGGTATAACAATCAAGTTTAGATTTGCTATATAGTACATAGGTTAATGTGAGTGTACTGCATCTGGGTAAGGTTTGATATACTTATAGACGTTGAGTTAATCTAGAGTCAGCCAAGCATTACCGATGCAGATCATCTCGAAAAAGCCAAGTATCAGCCGATTAATAAGCCTGGCCAATATAAATGTATTTTTTTGCATCAGTGCTGAACCTGTAAATGATGAATAATCATATCAGTTGTGCGTTTTTGTGTATGTGCAGGTGAGAATGTGGAGGGTCTGTCGGAGGAGGACGTAATTTTGCTTCACTCCTGCAGACAGTGGACCACCGTCACTGCCCACAGTCTGGAGGAAGGTCATTATGTGATCGGACCTAAAATAGACATCCCTCTACAGTATCAAGGTACCATATAACACACACTGGACTGTGTGACTGTGCCGGCAGGTGTACTGACACTCACTCAAGTAATGATTGTAATCAATTAGTGGTTGCTGCATCAGTTTTGCTAGCTCTATGAACATGAATGATATTGGATATTGTGGAGTTTGTTGACTAGAGGTGTGCTATTACTTTTCAAAGTGACTTATTTTCTCCTGGCTGATGATAAAATGGACTAGAGAGAGATCAGAATATTATAAATGCACCGAAAAATGCACCACTCACATTTTTATCCAAAATCTAGTTTGTAAAAGTAGAGTTTTAAGCAAATAATTATATATAAAAATATTTCAGCACACAAAACTGATTTCATTATTATCCACTGAGAGTGTACAAGCTATTAAAACACTCAGGCCAGAGAGAAACAGAGAGACAGAGAACGGGAGATGATTGGTTGTTAACAGTATATTGATTGTTGTATTCAAGCACTTAACTTCACACATGGCCACTTAGACGTCCTGAATTCACACACACATACACACACACACACACACACACACACACACACACACACACACACACAATTCAATTCACAGTGTTTTATAGTAGTGAGTGTTTTTATACAATGTGGGCAAAGCGTTCAGGTGATATGGGAACAATAAAAAAGATGCTCAAGATTATAAACTATTATAAAGATGGTGATTTATTTTTCTGGACAATAAAGCCAAACATGTCTTAATGATAATAACCATCCTAAGATTACAACAAAGACAAAGAAGTCTAAATTCTTTTAGTTTGATTCTATATAATTCTTTGATTCTGTATGATTATGTCATTATTCTGTATAAAGAAGTAGTAGTGAAGCCATTTTGTTTTAAATTATTTATACAATAATAATTATTAAATAATAATTTATACAAGTTTTTATATATATATATATATATATATATATATATAACATCCATCCATCCCAAAAAAATTTTTCATGACAATACACGACTGCTTATCAATGGCCGTCAATGGAGAAAGATGCTTTTTGCGCTCAGAATGGTGTAGTTACGGCAGGCACCAGCAGGGGCAGATTTTTTAAACCCTGACCCTTTAGTTAGCGCTCCGCTCTCATTCATAAAGTCAAACTCATCATTACCTCATCCTGACGTCATTCCCATGAGAGCCCCGGAGGAGCCCGTTTTTCCGAGCTTCCGGAATCGCAGACATTACTGCGCTGGACTTCCTCTCCTGGGACGCCCGTTACCTAATATACCCGCCACCCATACCATTAGGTCAGGTGACCAATGAGATCATCTGTTGGGGTTTCCGGAGGCAGTAAGATGCTGAGAGGGATGGATGAGGTCATTCGTGTCTCGGTGGCTGGGTCTAACGTCTCTCAGATAGACAGATAGAGTGCTAATAAGGAAGATGGAATTACAGAAGGATGATTTTTACACAGCTGAGAGATGCAGAAGATGAGACCATGTTGATATTTTAGATTTGCTTGTGATTTTGATGATGCAGAAGAGGGTTGTTATTGATGACACTCAAAACGGAAGATCTGCAGAATATAGGCACGGTATATTTCTCGGACTCGGAATAATAATCTCATTCATTTTCTGCATAGAGAAATTGTTTTGTAATGATAACATAAACTTATAACAATAAATATATTTAGTTTACTCTCTATGAAGAAAATGGACAAAAAAGAATACTTTGAGAACTGGAGAAGTGGGCAATTACTGATCAGTTTTGAAAAGAAGTGCAAAACTTTCTGCATTTGTATTTATGTCTTAGATATACATTTGGGGACAAACTTCTGCAGATTGCCTTCTTAAAGGGATAGTTCACCCAAAAATGTAAATTCTAACATTAATTACTCACCTTCATGTCGTTCCAAATAAGACTTTCGTTCATCTTCAGAACACAAATGAAGATCTTTTTGATGAAATCTGAGAGCTTTCTGTCCCTCCATTGACAGTTACGCAACTATCGCTTTGTAGCTTAAAAAAATTCATAAAGAGATCGTAAAACTAATCCATATGAATTGAGCTGATTAGTCAAAATTTTCGGAAGAGACTCGATCGCTTTATTTGATGACCAGATTGAATTTAGTATTTTATTCTTTTATGCGTAACACGAGAATGAGCCTCATTGGTTCTCGCACGTCAAGCGAACATGCTCGAGCTTCCGTTTACCACAACTGATGTGTGAATTGCCGAATGTTTATACAGGGCTCGACAATAAGGACTGCCCGATGACCCGGGACAAAGTCCTTTTAGGCAAGTCATGCCACTCGGCCGCCATCTTGGCAACGCCTCCGGGCAGCTATTTCGGACTAACAAGACCAGGCTCCTATCTAAATGAATGGGCAGAGAGTCAGAACTGCACTTTCACTGGTCACCGGGACATAAAAACTGCTTGTATAGAAACAGCAGTAAAATATGATAAAAATCGGTGAAAAACTTCGATGACTTTGCCCCAAAATAAGGTTTAAAAGGTCTTTTCCCCCACAGGTTATACGTTTACTACGCATGCGCAAGGGTTCTCGTCACCGCTGTCGTAAACCTCAACTGTGCGCATGCGTCAATGGAACCAGACGATAGGCTTACATGTTTCCTGGATTGACTGTTAAAAGCAGACGATTGGCTTTCCAGCGGGAGCGGCGGGGCATGTGCATACAACCGCCATCTTTGGCCTTATGGGTTTTCCCTATATAGTTGTATTGAGGATTGAGGAAGTGGCATGTCTCTATATAAATTGTCTCTGCCCGGGACCAGCGTGAACATTTCTCGGGACAGTTGACGCAACTGTCACTTGCTCAATCGGCCCAGTGCTGCATCAGGAAAGTTTATTTTTAAGCCTTGCCAATTTAAATATTCAAGCGCAAGAAGACGTGAAAGAGAACTCAATTCAATAGTGTGAGAAGTTTTGTGTGCGCACACATCCGCCAAGAAAGCCGCTTCTCAGACAGCGTGTGAATGCTGAATTGAGCTCTTGTTTGATTTGATTTGATTTATTAGACAAAATAATAGTGAAAAATACACTAATTTGTCAAGGATAACACAATAAAGTTTAAACAAAACTTATTTCCATTGTGATCCTTGATGTAAAGCACAAGTTCACTCCTAGGGACAGGTTACCTTGGCACTGCATACTGTTAAACTTACAACACTACAATAAGAACACACATTTCCAAATTATACATCACAATTAAACATCCACCCAAAAACATTAATACAAATTAATCACTAAAACAACTTATCTAATAGCCAACTTTTAACATTCATACTAAAGCCAACCATAATTGACATACTCTTTTCATCTAGAGGCAATTTATTCCATTCTTGTGCCCTTGAGTATTCAAAAGACCTCCGACCGTATTGTTTTGAAACGACATAATGTAATATCCATTAAACTCTGCCTAGTATTATAACAATATTACTCACTCATCCTAGAAAAATACATATTAAAATATGAAGGAGCTCTTTTATTCATTATCTTGTGTACCATCTTTAATTTAAAGTGCACAACTCTGCTTTCTATAGGTAACCACTTAAGATGTCTAAAAAGGGAAGCATCAACATGCGTAACACTATTAAAACCTAAAACCAACCGTATCAATTTATTTTGAGATCTCTGTAACTTAACGAGCCATAAACGAGACAAATCAGACATCCAAGAAATGCCCGCGTACTCCAAATGACATAACTAAACATGAAGCAAGTATTTTAATATTTTGGTTATCCAGAAAACTAACACATCTGGCAAGAAATTTTGTCCTAGCATTAACTTCGCTAAAATGTTCACAGCCATCCTTGTACCACTTAAATCATTGTCCAAAACACATCCAAGATAATTAAAGGAGAACGGCGTTATGTACATCGGCGTTCGTAGATCGACTGGTAAAGGCTGTATTTCAAAGATGGCTTCTGTCTGTATACGCGAAGTTGACTGTATGTTTAAAATATCTTCTTATTAAACTGTCTGTACACTTACAAAGTTCTCAATGCTTCGGTTTGAAGGTAGGGACCCTCATTATGCTACCGTGTTAGTGTGGGGCTATTTTGAGCCTTGTTAGTGGTATTAACAAGCGATTTTTATTTGTCATTACACTATGCCCAATAAACTAGCGTTATACTAGCTTTATAGGCTAAACTGTTTGTAGAGATAAAACTATTTACATTCGATAATCATGAAAACAAATCTCAGATAACGGTTGACTAGGTAACAATGTGTAATTAGACCAAAGGTTCATTTTGCGCCGGAGTTCTCCTTTAACAGTGGTTCTATTTGATATTACACAATCCCCTACCTTGATAGATAAGTTAGGAGCTTTGTTCAGTTTTCATTTCGTCCCAAATATGGATTCAGTTTTACCTAAATGCAAAAAAAGTTTATTATCAGAGAGCCAGTCTCTTATCCTACAAAGCTGCTCACCTAATATCACTTGTATTTTGAGAACATCCTTGTCCGAAACCAGTAGAGCAGAGTCATCAGCATAAAAACAAATTACAGTCACAAACAGCTTGCATGTCATTTATGTACATTTATGTTAAAAAAAATAAGAGAAATAAAAGGGGGCCTATGACACTTCCCTGAGGAACTCCATTATTAATAAATGTCTCCTCAGAGAGTATCCCACAAATTTCTACCCTTTGAATTATCCCAGTTAAATAAGAGTTCAACCAGGCTTTGACCATACTTGAAACCCATGACACTTAATTTATCTAGCAATATCGAATGATTCAGTGTGTCGAAAGCTTTTTGAAGATCCATGAGTACCATTCCACACATTTTACCTCCATCAATCTGCTTTCTAATAAAATATGTTAAATAAAGTAAAGAAGTATCAGTCGAATAAGATCTTCTAAAACCTGATTGAAAATCAAGTACATTTACTTCGTTACATTTACTTGAGTATTTTTTTGGAAAATTTTTACTTTTAAGAGTAGATTTAATTGTGGGTACTTTTACTTTAACTCGAGTACATTTCTAATGAAAAAACTGTACTTTTACTTCGTTACGTTGGGCGAGGTTCCTCTCGTTACTTTATTTTAATGCAATATGTTGTTAAAAGCGTAGTTTATTCTAAGCGCGCGCTCTCTCTTTTTTCTGGGCATGAGCGATGCTCAATTCACAAATGAATCACTCTTTTGAATCGATTCTGTTCAAAGACTTCAAACAAGTTGGGCAGATCTGTCTAAATCGGTTCGCGAATCAGTTTGAATGATCTGTTCAGTTTCCTGCACGCACTGAATCGTCTCGGAGTCATAACAGGAAGATTTAAGAACATCAAGAATCATTCATGTCCGTAGCACAAACGCTGCAGTTTAATACACAAGAAGTCTCTGTTTAAATTGCTATGTAAAAGTGTGTGTTTGAGTGCTAGTGAAATGTGATTGGTGTATTTCAATTTATGCTTTCTGTGATTGGTTGAAGGTGCTCCAACCGATGTTTGCAACAGTAATAATTTTAGTGGCTTTAGTGGAAGCATTTATTTTTTACAAATGCATCCAGAACAGAAAAGAAATAGTGAAACTTCAGAAGAGAAAGAAACCCTTTCAGCTCCGAGTGTCCTATAGAACTGCAGAAAGAAAAGCTGTTGCCAGGAGACCAAAAGACAAAGAGAGATACGCTCTCTTACGCTTTATCAGTGTGTGTGAGAAAATGACCTATAAGATCACATACACACTTAAATGCGGACATACCATAGACTTCTATTGTTAATTATATAAAGCAAATTGCTATCTTGAGAGACTAAACTCTATACCCCAAAAGAAACATTTAGCATTTTTTTTAAATAAAAAACTGTATGAACTTATTTTTTATCTACCAGGATGTCATCAGAGGGCGGTTTAGTTCGATTTAGCTAATTTCAGGGGACCATTTTGTAAAACTATTTCTTCATTTCTGTCTTTGACTCTTTTTGTTCTGTTCTAGGAAAGTTTAAGTTATTGGATCAGGATCGGGATGTCCGTGAGCCAGTTCAGTATTTTGGAAGCGTGGAGGAAATCGCTGGAATCTTTCCTGATCGCGTGTTCGTCATGGAGCCCATCACGTTCAGCGTTAAGGTAATGAAGACTGCATCTCAGCAATGCCTAACATTAATCTGTCGGTAGTGTTGTTATTGTTAGCTAAAACTATTAAGAATTCACAAAAACTAAATCTGAAATTAAAGTTAATAAATATAAAAAAAATAAACTAACTACAAACTAAAACTAAAATTAAAACAGGAAATATAAAAATAAAAAACTAATTTTAAATAAACGTCTCAATGGTTTTCAAAATAGTGTCGCTTTACTAGTTATGTAGAACATAGTCCAACAAATAGTGATTTAACATGCTAAAACACTGCATGTTTTTTCACATTGTATTACGCACACTGCTTTTCATTGTATAATGTCTAATTGAATGTATGATTCAGATTGTTAAAGCTGCAGTCCGTAACTTTTTTGGGTTAAAAATTATCCAAAATAATTTTTTGAGCAAGTACATAACCAGCCAGTGTTCATAACTCTCTGCTTGCCGTAGCTCGATTTAAAGCGGTAAGCTTGTAATAATGTTTTTAATTCCAGTGGTACTGGTGGATTTCCGCGGGAGATTCGAGCATGTCTTTGTGTTATTACGTCACATCTGTACACACACATCAGTACATACACATCTGTACACACACATCAGTACACACACATCTTTACACATAAAGAAGAGTCTCGGCTAGTAGGCTATATCGAGTGTGAGGATGCTGGAGGTGGAGATTTATAGCCTTTTCTCACAGCACTTGATATAATTAAACTTATCAATTTGATGGCGGATCCAGAAAGGTTCAAACGACAATCATCAGTGACAACTAGAGACTCACCCGTTGTAAAATGCAAAAGACTTGGCTACAGAAAAAAAGAGACTGCAACCGGACCCATGCGAAAACAAGGATAAATATTGGAAGGGTATTAAATGTAGTCACGCAATGCTGATGTTGAACATTAACAATTTGAGAACAAAGTATAATTTGCATGGTGACTGACAGCCGCACATTCTCCTCAAACATTGGATTCATCCGCGCTGTGCCGTGTCGAGGCACAACTTACGTAAAGTTGATAATTCCGCGAATAACTGCAATTTTGACAACACTAATTAAACACATTTTATTTTAAAAACCTGTTCGTTTGTTTTTTCATTTAAAGGTGCATTGCGCAACATTTCATGTTAAAAATACCCGTTTTTCTAACCCATATATGCTTAAACAATTGCCTGATGGGCTGAATGAGCCCTTCTCTGATCACTACGATTGCCTCTATAATCCTGTACAGTAAAATAAATAAGAGGGATTCGGGACGGAATTTGAGACTGGGCGTGACGTCATGCGCGTTCACGCTCACCTGGCTATGTCTGGCAGGTTTGTGTATTCGCCGCCATTCTCCGTATCAGCGAAGACAACTGAACTCGAGCGACAAAACTTTAGTCAACTTTCAACAAAAGTAGAAGATGGATTCAAAGAGACCGGCTTGTAGTTCATTCCAAACCCCAGCGCAAACTCCACGTAAGACAAAGAATAGAAAACTTTTGTCTAGTGCCACCAAAAGGGCCAAATTGGAGTCAGACAGGCGTCGGAATAAGACGAGAGTCAACATCGGGAAGGCTTTCAACAAATGGAGAGATCTCCGGTCTGCTCTAGGGCTCAAACGGGATCCTCAGTTGGCTTTTACAAAGTAATAACTTATATTGTTCATGAACGTGTTTCCATAATAATACAATCATAAGTGGATACAGTAAACACATAAAACAGTTCAACATGGAGATAGATGGAAACAAAAACCGAAGTTTTCTACTACCCCCGTTTTCCCCTCACACATAAGTGTGTAATCTACTCAAATGCCTTTCCTTTCATGTATTTAAAATGACTTGCAGATTTATAACTTTATTACCTCTGAAGACATTATGACTGTAAACAAAACATTTGTGCGGCTGATGCTCCTTTGGTTATGAACAGCTCGTACTCGTGCAAGCGTGCGTGTGCGTGTGGTCCATGAGCGTCCACACCTCTGGTTGCAGTTTCGCTTGTCGCCAGAGGGGGCATAGTTCTGCAAAAACTCAGAGACTTGTACAATGCACCTTTAAAGTAGCGTTTTTTGGGGATACAAGATTTCTGCCTGACAGCGGCGATATTTTAAAAGATACTGTCCCCTTAAATGGCTTCAATTTAGTTCCGCATTTTGTTAGTTGCTTCTAGTGTAACTAACTAATTTTAGGCTTAACTGTAGTTTAACTGCTGTAAGTTATGAGTAGCTTATAGCTTGACAAATTAGGTTAATACTTAACGACATCAGTCATTGTGTTTTTGTGTTAAATGCTAATACGTTTGTCTCTTTTTTCTCTCTCTGTAGGTGGTTTCTGGGGAGTTTACAGAGGATAGCGAGTTATATAATTTTTCTCTTCAGACGGGTGATGAATTGACTCTCATGGGCCAAGCAGAACTGCTCTGCGTCCAATCGACTCGCGAGAAATCCCGCCTGACGACGCTGCTACGGCGACTTGGCAAAGCAAGCGGAGCTTTGGGACGTCCCGCCCGCACGAAGATGCCTTGTTTGATATGCATGAACCATCGGACCAATGAGAGCGTCAGTTTGCCGTTCCAGTGTCGCGGGCGGTTCTGCACACGCTCGCCGCAGGAGCTGCAGATGCAGGGAGGCGAACACACCGTGCGCAGCATCATCGAGCGCGTGCGTTTGCCTGTGAACGTATCCGTGCCCTCGCGACCTCCTCGCAACCTGTACGACCTTCATGCGATCCGCGAGGGTCATCGATATAAACTCCTCAGCATCATCAGCAAAACTGTCGTTCTCTGCTGCATACTTCGCAAAGAGGAAGTGACGCCGTCTCACTTCCTTTTATTAACGGACATGCCGCGCTTCACTCTGCCGGAGGGGCTTTTGCGCGCAGACGCTTCCTACCAGCAGGTGGTGCTGCAGTGTGCGCTGCGTTGCCAAGAGAGCTTCGACCCAGACGATTACTCGCGCGCCGTGCGCGAAGTCAAGACGGATTTCTCAGAGGAGTGTCTCAGTCCGCGGCGGATTCGGGTGTGCGTTCAAGGCTACGGGCGTGACGAGTTGGGGACGTCCCTGCAGAGACTGTCTCTGTGTGTGTACGGAGGTGGAGCGGTCACACACACGCACACAATCTCACACGGCTGCAGAGACTCGCTGGTCGACTCGCACACGCTGCCCTCTAGTGACGGCGACGGAGAGGAACGAGAATACGTCACGCCCGATTGGTCGACTGAGACGCAGGAGATTCCATACGAGGAGCTCTGGACCAATCAGAGTTCTGGAAGCTTTGGTTTGGCGTCTGAGAGCGCGGTGAAGGCGGAGCATAACCTCATATCCTTTCACTCCACTACCACGTCATTGGAGGGTACCACCCACGTCGCCATGGTGCAGATGGAAGCAGGAAGAGTATCGAGAGTATCAACTCCACCCCCAGTCCCACCCAAATCAGAAGCTGTAAGCAGTTGTTTTCCATATATTTTCTAATAAAATTCTGAGTTTTTGGCTCATATAGTTCATAAAAAAATATCTGGGCCATATTTCAGCCCTAAAATTAAAGGAATAATGTGAACTTATATTTTTCATTAAGAAAGTGAAGCTTATTTTTAGGACCATTACTTTTGCATTATATGAAATTATTATTATTATTATTAGACTATTAAGCATGTTTTCCAACCAAATTCGAAATTGTTTGTAATTGTCATTATTTTCTGTGGTGATTCTCAAAAAAAAAACTAAGTTGGTGTGTTGGGTATCTTGAAGATACTCAAATAAACATATCAATGTTTTGATAGTGTCTTTTGACACTTTTGGGGGGAAGTCAACCTTCAATACACACACACACACATTGATGAGCCAAAACATTATGGCCAGTTACAGGTGAAGTGAATATCAGTGATCATCTCCTAACAAGGCCATTGAGTGACTTTGACAAGAGCCAAATTGTTATGACTGGGTCAGAGTATCTCTAAAACAGCAAGGCTTGTGTGTGTCGCTCTCGGTCAGTAGTGCTGAGAATTAACCAACAGTGTCCGAGGAGGAACAAACCACAAACTGGCGACTGGGTCTTATTGATGCACGAGGGCAACAAAGGTTATCCCGTCTGGTCCGAGCCAAAAGAAGGTCTACTGTGGCACAAGTCACACAAAATTTTAATTATTGTAATGGAATGTGTCACAATACACAGTGCTTATGGAGCAGCGGAGCTACAGAGCAATCAGAGATCTATGATCACTGTCGAAAGCGGCTACCATGGGCACGTGAGCCTCGAAACTGGACCTTGGAGCAGCAGTGGAAGACGGTCGTTTGGGGAAGTGATGCACCAGGATGGACTGTAGGACGATAAGAAGCCGCTTGATTTTTTCCGCTGATCACGCTGACAAGCCTGTGGAGGGAGTGTGTGTGTGACGCTGTGGTCAATGTTCTGATGGGAAACCCTGAGTCCGGTCATTCATGTGGACGTAACGTAAATCTGACACATGCCACCTTTCTAAACTGTTGCAGACCAGATACACCCCTTCATGACAATGGTGTTCCCTGGTGGAAGCACACAGTCACACTGCACACATTGATCATGTTTGAGGAACATGATGAAGAGTTCAAGGTGTTGCTCTGGCCTCCAGATTCTCCAGATCTTAATGCAGTTGAGCATCTGTGGGACGTGCTGGACCAACAGGTTCAGTCCACAGCGGCTCCACCTCAAACTACAGGACTTGCAGGATCTGCTGCTAAAGTCTCGGTGTCAGAGACCACAGGACACCTTCAGGCTCTTGTAGAGGCCATGCCTGGGCGGGACGGAGCTGTTTTAGCAGCACATGGAGGACCAACAGCATATTAGGCAGGTGCTCATAATGTTTTGGCTCATCGGTGTATATGGCATTACAATAATGTTAATTCGATTTTGTTTTCATTATAATGATAATTTTGGGGGAAATGTATGTATTTTTTATGGAAAATAATGCCACTTTAATCAAATCTGAATGGTTCTAAAAGAGGCTTACTTTTCTGTAAATATTAAATATAAAAAAAAATATATAAATATATGTTTTTAATATAATAATAAAAAGTATAATGATAATTAATAATACTGTATAACAAAATACATACATATAAGTACTTTGTTTCTATAGATTTTGAGGTGAAATATTCTGGACAGTTTTGTGAGAATCACTCACAAAATGTCCCTAGTGTTATTGTGCTTCTGACCCTGAGCTCAGCTCTACTGTAGTTCACTAGCCCTCTTTATTCCCATGAGAGTACTTGTCTTCCGCAGTTCTTTTTGCCACAGGCCCATGTGCAAACACACACACACACACACAATCATATGTGCATTATATACAGTATCACACAGCACTGCTGCCCCAGACTAAATTATTGATACTATTGCTTTTAAAGACTGAATAATGAGCATGCGTTTACCGGAACACAGCAAACACACATAAACATAATCACACATCATCTCAGTCTATGTCTTTTATATAATGTTAAAATGAGGAGCTACTTGAATATTTTGAATACTCCAAGATATTCTGAAAATACTAATAATGCAGGTGGTAAAGTAGTTTTTAATGTAGCAGCTTTTTCTGATAAAATTACTGACATTTTACTCAGAGAAACAAACATCTCGTAGAGCCAGAAGTAAAGTATTTTTGACGCTGTTGACTGAAATTACAGCCTTTTGCTTTTCCTCTCTCTCTTTATCCCACACATAGAGGGTTCAGTTCTGGCCTGTAATTTAGCTTCTCAAACACACACACACACTGTCCCTGGTGTATTTGTGGAGGAAATTAACTGTATCCCAGAATCCTAGAGTTGTTTCTCCCAGAAGAGGAAATTTAGACGGTGATAAATATTTAAATGTTTATCATCATCATGATGATCATTAAGGCAATATTTCCATATTGACTGTAATAAAAAAAAAAACGCATGCAGAAATCATTTGTTTGATCATATTGTACTGTACATTGTTTACATGTTTTATTGTACTGTACAAGTTTTGTGGATACCAGATTTAAATAGATTCAGGAGTGCCTAATTGATTATTAAAATACAGTTAAAATTATATTAAAATCATTAGCACAGTTTCCATTATAAGAATACTTTTAGTCTGTTCAGCGATTTACACATCTGCCACAATTATGTATTTGAATTATCTTAATATCTTGCAATTATATCATGTAAATCATTTGATTGACAGCCTGAGATGAATTGATACTTGATATTACATCTGTTTTAGTGAGACTCAGTGTTTGTAAACAAACTAACAGTGTTCTGTATTAAGTTTTCAATTCTCATTGTTTAGTATTTATTATTCTGTATTCATTGTTTCTTTTATTCCATATTCTGTGTTTAATATTCATTTGTTGAGTTTTCGGTATTTAGTGTTTAATTTCCTGTGTTCAGTATTAATGAGAAAATGGTGTTTTACTTTCTTCTGGACAGAAAGTTGTGAGGAAAACAATAGCAGGTCTGTGTAATATAGGAGATTGTTATAGTTCTTTTGTATGTCTTCTCTCTCTCTCTAGGTGAAAGAGGAGTGCCGTTTTTTAAATGCTCCTCCCGTTCCGCCCCGCTGTGCTAAAGGCCCCGTCCCGAGCCCTCCAGTCCCCACACGCTTCCCTAAAGCTCCAGCCACACAGACGCTCAACCCAAACCACTCATTTTATTCCTCTGGACTGCAAGAGAGGTAAAAATCACACACACAGAAAAATGTACTTATTCAAAGACTTAAAGTGATAGTTCACCCAAAAATGAAAATTCTGTCATTAAATCATGTCGTTCCAAACCCGTAAGATTTTCGTTCATCTTCTACACAAATTAAGATATTTTTAATGAAATCTGAGAGATTTCTGTCCCTCATTGACAGCTACGCAACTACCTCTGTGACGCTTAAAAAAGTTCATAAAGAGATTGTAAAATTAATCCATATGAATTGAGTGGTTTAATCCAAATTTTTTGAAGAGACTCAATCGCTTTATATGATAAACAGATTTAATTTAGCTCTCATGAACATGCTTGATGCGTGAGAACAAACCTCTTGCAGAAGTTAAAATGTGCTGCGTAACATTGGTTCATGATGTTCATTGGTTATCGCACGTCAAACAGGTTTCGATTGAGCTTCTGTTTATGTTCGCTGATCAATGTTAATATGTGAATAAAAGCCTAAATTCAATCTGTTCATCATATAAAGCGATCGAGTCTCTTTAGAAAATTTGGACTAAACCGCTCAATTCAAATGGATTCGTTTTATGATCGCTTTATGAACTTTTTTAAGCGTCAAAGTGGTAGTTGCGTAGCTTTCAATGGAGGGACAAAAAGCTCTCAGATTTCATTAAAAATATCTTCATTTGTGTTTTGAAGATGAACGAAAGTCTTACAGGTTTGGAACGACATGAGGGTGAGTAAATAATAACATTTCATTTTTAGGTGAACTATCCCTTTAAGATATACCAAGACAGTGCAGTCATATTGTTATGAATGATAGAAAGTGAAACGTGAAACTTGACAGAATAAGTCCCGCCTTCTAAATAAAAGCCAATCGTGTCATTTCTATTGGCTAGTCCACCCTGAAATATACTTTATATGATATTTAAGCATAAGAAATAACATTTATGGGACAGGTCATGAGATTTCAGGATACCCCATTCAAGTAGATATGACTTGGTCTTGGATGCCCAAAATAGCTTTCACAAAGGCACTGCAAATATGGCCATTGATTTTCTTGAAAGGAATTATTGCAAATGGAAGTATTGTGGTGTGGTGTACAACTTGGAGGGGTTTAAATAGAGACGTTATACGTACTGGAAATAAGTAGGAATGGGAATCGAGAGGAAGTTAATAATTCCATTAATAATTCTTTTAGTACTTTTGAGGAAATATTTCCCTTTGGAAGCACTGATAATTGATCCTAACTATATCAAATACTACTAAACAAAATCATAAGGAACACATCATTTTTTTAAACTTTATTTATTATGAGAAGTTGCAAAAAAGGCCCACACACTAAGATGGTGAAAAAAAGACAACAAAAAAATCAAATGCGAGATAAAAACGACAGCTTTAATGAGGATCAGCAAATGTTTTGGTCAAAAGATGATCTTGCATTTGCTCTCTTGTTGTCTTTTTTCTCCCACTATTTTAAGCCCTTTTTAGTAGTTTTCCAGGGGGCCATTAGAGAAATTCGTTTCACAGATGTACTTATACGATTTAATCCCGCCCGAATCTGCCAAGTCTGTGTTTCTCTCACACAACCTCTGTAAAAATTCCTAGGCAAATGACCGATTGTTTTTCAGCAAACTCAACAGTCCTCAGAGAGATTCAATCCTGTCCGAATGCAAACGCTGTATTGTCCTAACGCTTCTCCTCATGTGTTTTCCGTTTGCACACCAATCTTCGGCATGCTTTCATTTAGTTTCAAAATGGATGGTATCCGACGCAAAAATAACATTATAAAATTAATAAATAGAGTAAAATCACAGAAACTGTCAGGAAAGTGTCAGGTGTAAAATCTAAGAGTAAGACACTTGTCTAGTTTTAATAAACTAGACAAGTTAATAATAAACAGCTACAGCTATAAACTCTAGAAGTTTACTTAAAGGGATACTTCACCTCTGGAAAGATAAATGGGTCATTTATGTAGAAGAAATGTGAAATTATTTTTGAATTTGGAGCTTTCTAGACTGAAAGCGGTGTCAAATAAATATCTGATATATCATTGGTTTAAAAACGTAAACAAGCCTCGATGTGCTGCCTACTACACCTACGTCATATCATACCTGTTGTGAAGAGGCGGAGTCAGGAGGATCCATTCGCAGCATTTATTAGAGTAGTTAAACAGGCACGGATCAACAACAGCAAACAGGGCAACGGAGACAAGGCAGAGACAAACCAGATTACAAGCAAAGGGTCAGGGCAGGCAGAGAGAATCAGAGTCCAGTAAACAGTCCAGGGTCAGGGCAGGCAGAGAAGGGTCAGCAACGATAAACAATCCACAGGTCAAACACAGGAATCAAACTCGGGAAAGAAAACACTCAGAATTGCAGTGGAATAACGTACAAGACTTCACAGGGAATGATGAGGTGAACCAGGCTTATATGGGGTGAACTAAACAATATAATGAGACACAGGTGAATGTGATAATCAGGGATGATGAGTCCGGGCAGTGAATTATGGGAAATGTAGTTGTGAGTGAACAATGATAGTCTGATGTGGAGTGCCCTCAGGTGGCTCTCAAGGGCACTCCAGCTGATAACCGTTACAATACCGTTAAAGGGATAGTTCACTTTGAAATTAATTTTTAGTATATTTTAGCTTACCTCAAGGGCATCCAAGATGTAGGTGTCTTTGTTTCCGCAGTAGTTTCAATTTTGATATTTTTAGTTCCTGTCTGTTAGTCATATAATGCAGGTCTATGGTAACTTCCTCAAAGAGCATGCACAGAGAAGTCCAAATTAAACATGATTTAATGACTCAAAAATGTAAGTACACATTGATGGCCTAAGACACGAAACGAGCGGTTTGTGTGAGAAAATGAACAGTATTTATGTCACGAAGCATAGGTGTCATTCAGATCCAAATGCAGCTTTATTATAGAAGGGTCGACAGGCAGGGTAAATCAACAGCAGGCAGTACAACGGAGAGAATCACAGAGCAGAATAGGGTTACAGGCAAGGGTCGGGGCAGGCAGCAGAAAGCAAGGTCCAATAAACAATCCGGGTCGAGGCAGGCAGCAGAACAAACAGGAAACGGTGCAACAATCCAAGATCATCAAACACGGGAAAATAACGCTCAGAAATGCAGTAACAGTACAACAAGACTTCGCGGTGAGTGAATGAATGAACATGGTATAAATAGACTGAGACTAGCAGGATGACAAGACACAGGTGAATACAATCAGTGACAATGAGGTACAGGTGAATGTGATCAGTGATGATGAGTCCAGGCAGTGAGTATGGGAAATGTAGTTTGTGAGGAAGTGATCATAGTCTATTGTGGAGCGCCCTCTGGTGGCTCTCGAGGGCACTCCAGCTGGTGATCGTTACAATTTATATCGTTTTTACCTCTTGTAAACATAGCCACGTCCAAGTGATCTGATGGCGCCGGCGCTTCGGTCTTTTCCGGAATTTTCTTAGCAATGTTAAAACGCACATCAACCGATCGTTTGTTTAGCGTTCATGTAAACACTACATTCATATTCACCAATCGGAATGAATTCAGTTAGATTGAAACAAAAGGTGTGCAATGTAAACAATGAATGGCGACTGCAGAAAGCAAAAGCTGAATCCCTGACATTTTGTACGATCTCGACGGCCGGACATGTCCGGGAAAAAGAGGATGGATGGTAACCCCTACTACTCAGCTTTCTCCACAGAACAAGAGCCTGCTAGCTTAGCTTCCAAAAAAGATGGCTGACACTATGTGTACGTTCTGTGAGTGAGATCCCACCCTCTATGGGCCGGTTGAAAACATGCGGGACAGCCTCTACTACCGGCTGTAGTCTTTAGCCTCTGGCCAAAAAATCCACCGATGACGCAAAATGACGATTTTTGCGTCATCGGAGGATTTTTTCCGGACAAAAAATACATGAATCTCTCGTCTCATTGGGATATGGGGGTGGAAAGCATGGTAATTTGAAAATACTACAGGTTTTCTACTAATACAAAGCTTAAAGCTAAATCCTGAAGTATCCCTTTAAATAGGGTTTTTATAATAAATTTAAATTATATCAACAAATAATACATTAAAAGACATATACTGTACAAGCATAGCAGGTGTCCTTCTTGTACGCCCACATCTAGAAAACACAGACTCACACCTCTGTAATAAACACAGAGATGTTAGTTCCTTCCAAATTGGTACATGAAATCAGCGATGATAACTCAAACGTTGTTTAGAAAGCGTTGTTCAGGGCTTTAGTGTGTGAGCCTATTTTGGAACTTTTCGCCTATTTAGATTAGACTTTGTACTTTTTTAAGGCGCAGTGAGTTTTTGGTGATTTCTTAATTTATTTATTACAACACAACTCTCTCTCTCTCTCTCTCTCTGTCTCCATCAGTTCTGCTCCTCGTAGCGGTAGCAGCTCTCCATCGCCGGACTCTTACTCTCTGTACTGTTACCCATGCACCTGGGCCGACTGTGTGACCTCTGACCCCTGCGTAAGCCCTGATCCCGCCCAGCCCGCGCAGGCCTGTTGGTCCCACCCTCGAGGAGGCGGAGCCTCCACCTCCAACGTCCTCAATACACCTCTACTCAGCACTGACTCCACCCAAAAGAACTACTCCACCTGTCCCAGACCACGGCCGGTGGCGCAGAACCGCTTCGCACCATTCGGTGCCCTAAACCCCTTTGCCAATCCGGGATACGCCCACGCCTCCTCCGATTGGCTCACCACTGGTAGGAACTCTCCCACTCTGATACCCGACCTCATTAGCTCCACCCCCAAGGAGCCTCTAACCAATCAGGGAGCTTTAGAATGCAGTCCCGAGGCTCCGCCCAGACCAATCAAGAATTCAGAAGAGGACACGGTCACCATGGACCCCGCCTCCGGATCCGTTGCCATGACGAGGGGGGCAGAGGGCGGGGCTGGGTCGTCATGGCGACCCCCCTCGGAGCTCTGCTGGCTCTCGGTGGAGGAGGTTTCGTCCAGTCTTAGGTTTATCGGCCTTTCGGACGACGTGATTGGTCTGTTCAGCCGAGAGAGGATCGACGGCTCTATTTTCACTCAGCTGACAGAGGAAATCCTGTCGGAGGACTTTAACCTCACCAAACTACAGGTCAAAAAAATCATGCAGTTCATCAAGGGATGGAGACCCAAGATATGAGGGCAGCATCCTCGTGAACTTATTGATGTTTTTATTTGAGAGACACAAAATTACTCCAGCCACAATGAGTGCTTCTACTCGGACAGTTTCAGATGTTTTATAAGTGTGTGTGTGTGTGTCTGAAATACACCTCTCTAATCGAAGGACTGACAGATTGTGACTAATATATTATGGAGCACTATTCGATGTTTTTATTTTTGGGGTGGGGTGATTTTGTGTACCTTCAGTGGACAGTCAGAGCTCATCTTGTGGCCGTTCTGCTGTATTTCAAGGGTTTTACTGACTGTGTTTTGACCTCTTTTGTCTGTTTTCTAATAATCTGACATGATTGACAGTTGGATCTGGGTGAATCTCATGGAACCTGTCTGGATGATGTCCAGGTCATTTTTCACCCCAAAATCAAAAGCAAAAATAAATAAATAAATTGTCATTGTTAGAATGTATGAAAATCTCATTCTTGTTATTGTAATGTGGAAAAATGTTTAAGTAATTTTAAGTCATGACACCTTAATTTATAGCTCTTAATACAATACAGATTGTTTCAAAGCAGCTTCACAGTAATAAACAGAAAATAACAGAACCAATAATGCAAACTTCATCAGGTATGGAACCAATTCAAATATTGCAGTATAGCAGCTGTAAAAAGACAATAGTTTCATTATTCAGCTCAAGTAAGTTCAGTGTTGATTCAGTTCAAAACCTGTTGTTTACCAATTATAAAACGAGTTCAATTCAGCTATAAGCAGATCTACAAAAGCGAACAGTGTTGTTATTCAGCTCTACACTAGTTCAGTGCTGACTCTTCAGTTCAATAAGTGTCTAATAATTTAAGTAAAATAATTTATACTGTTATTTTATTACAGTATTTGTTTTTATAATACAAAATGTAATGATAATCATTGAGAATAATTGGAATGGAATCACATTATTTTAATAAGAATTGAGGGGAAAATGTTCCTAAAATTCTGTGAAGAAAAAAAATATGCAAAATAAAACAGTTTTTGACAGGTTTGACAAGATTCACCCACTTAGGGCACAATTTTCTTCCTTCCACCTGCTCTCATACTGAGCCAATGTCATGCACACTGCAAATTAGCTTTTTAGAGACTTAAAGAGTTCAGTTCGTGATGTACACACTAATAAGAGCAGTGAGAGTTTACAGTCTAAAGAACACACTGTAATTAGGTGACTGTAATTAAGAGTTTACTAAACACAGCCCACACTGATGGAGGATGTGTGTGTGAGGTGAGTCAGAGCTGCTGAAATGAGAAGGTTTTAGCCTCATCTCTCTGTTTTTATTTAAATGTTTTATCAGCATTTCAGAAATGTTTATTTAACATTTTTCCCCTTTTTGTAGATGCATGTGTAGGCCTACTTTGAATAATATTTAACAGCGGTAGTGTTTCATTTGTACTGTAATTTCATCATGTATGATTTAATCCTGCTGGATCAACTACAGAAAAGAATAAATCAATAGTGCTCACTTGAACAAAGTAAATCATTGATGTACTTTTATCATATATGTTCTGATTGGAATAGCTTTTTTGCTTAGTGTATAATACCTTAATTGTTTGAAATTGGAACTATTTTGAACAGACAATTACGAAAGCTTGTTTCTGCCACAGAAAAAAAAAAGGTAATTGTGACTTTTAATCTCACAATTCTGACTTTTTTTCTCTCTCAGATTTGTATGAAGTCAGAATTGAAATCGAAAGGAACGGAAAAAGTCTGTCAGAATTGCTTGAAGTCAGACTTGTGAGAACTTGTTGAGAGCTTGTAAAAATTCTGTCTTTTCTCCCCTCAGAATTGGGCAATAACTCGCAATTGCGACTTTAGGCCTATATCTCAATAATTCCGAGAAAAGTCAGAATTGCGAGATGTAGGCTTAAACACAATTGCGAGGGTAATAGCGAGATATAAACTCGCAATTGTGAGATAAAAAGTCACAATTCATTTTGGGGCCAATTTTATTTATTTTGGTAGGATTTTTCTATTAATTTACGATGCTATAATGGCCCCTCCCAGTCAAAACAGTCAAGAGTAAAATAGCTGACAAAGCTAAAAATTAAATATCAATTCATATGCCCACATAATTAGATCCCTACCTTAGGGAGCGATGTGCATTTGTTTCTTGATTTCAGAAACAGACGAAAATCTTACTCAGCTCGAAGACGTGAGCGGTGTTTATATTTATAGATGATATTTGGTGGGCTTGTCAGTGTCAAATAGCCCAGCCGCCAATTCCCACTGATTGGGAGTTACCGCCAATTGGATGGAAATTATTTATTTTAAAATGTTTAAAATAGAATATAATAAACTCAATATACATTTATTTGTTAAATCAAAATTTTTTTTTTATTAATTAATTAATAAATTAATAATTAATGTATCCCCTAACATGCTCTGGGGCCCCACACTATGAAAATACCTGTACAGTATATACTTTGAATCAGTTTACACATACTGTATTTCAAACATATCAATGGGAGTACATATGAATACATTCTTTACTCTTTCAATTCGTTTTTCTTTACATACAGTAAAATGTAGGTTGGGTGTGAGAAGTAGATGCTTCCAGTCAAAATTCAAGTTTATTTTAGCAGAATCATATGCAAACATACAAACTACTATGCTATACAGAAATACAACAAATAATAACTGTGCAAAACTCCCTCTCCAGCTCAACTTGGAGATAATCTGAGGCACCTTGGTTAAAAAAAAAAAATGTAGCTGCAACATTCAGAATGTTTTTTTTACAGTGCTTTGCCGTGATTTTATGTGTACCTGAATGAATATTATACCGTGAAATTATTTAACGGTAAAAAAAGAAGTAAAAAAAGTTATTGGTGTTGACACCAAATCTCAATTTTACTGAGATTTTACATTGTTAACGTTTCTTTGATCACATAAACAAACTGACAAATTATGCACTGGCCAAGTTAGGAAAGTGCTGCTTTTTAAGCCAACAAATGATAAAACACAATTAAAGGATTTGTAAATGATGCCCTACTGTAAGTAAGTGAATGTGACTTTTCTTTTTTTTGATAAGATACCAAATGCTGAGATTAGAAAATTATAATGGCGGTGAATTTTCACTTGTGAAATCTCTTGCTGGGGTTCTTTGCGTGGTCGATGAGCAGCTGGCAGGGAGTGAACTGGTTACCATAAACCTCTTCAAAGCGCTTCATTTTCTGGACAAGTTTGTCTGCTCCGTATGAATCCACAAAACGGAACGGGCCTGAAATGTGGGAAACAAGAGGGTTGCCAAAGTTTACTTAGCAAATCCTTAATTATCCCCAGGCACAATGCGGTATGCCACAGGGTTAAGTGCTGGGCCCACATCATTTACGATAAATCATTTTAATTACAAAATGTGTAATGTCTGTTACCTCCCAAGCAAGGCGGGAAGCCAAGTCCAAACACGGCTCCGATGTCTCCCTGCACAGGGTCGGGCAGAATGCCTTCCTGTAGACACAGTACGGCCTCGTTCACAAAACGAGACATGAGTCTGTACTGAATATCCTCATCGGTGGAGCTAAAGAGGGACAGAGAGAAATATGAAGGGGGTTTTCCGAGGCAAATCAAGGTTTAGGATACTACAATCTGTGGCGTTAATCATGTAAACCAACTTACACAGCAGGGGGCGCTGTTAGCTTGAAGCTCTTAAGAATCTCTTCGGCTCCTGAGTTCACCGTCTTTTCTTTCGACTTGGCTCCATACACATAACAACCCTTTCCAGACTTGCGCCCTGAAGTGCACAGATATACATGCAATAACAATGTGAAAGCTGAATTGGAATATGACAAGAATAGTTAAGCTTTTTTTGCTGTAGTTTATAAAATTTAAAGTACCCCTGTAGTCAAACATGTTATCCCTTAAAACTCATCTTTGATCACCAAAATTACATATTTAAACGCTTTTTCCTGTGAATTTTTTCTTCTTCATGCCTTAAAATAGCTCGAATCCAACTCTTCACCCTTGCTTCATTTAGTTTACACGGTTCCATAATTATGCTAATTAGCCCCGCCTCCCCTCACTCACACCAGCTCAGAGATTCACTAGGTCAACTTACTGAGGTAAACGCTGCACAATGGTATCGCTCTTTACAACGTCGGACACATAACGGTAATTAATATGATTAGCCTTTTGCTTGACTATGTTATCAAACAGGTAATAATGTGTTGCTACTGTTACACAAACCATGTTCCAGTTCGCATCTCAGAGTCAGGCACCTGCCTTCTAACAATCATCAGAAACGCTTTGAACAACTCAGAACATCAGTGGAGAAAGGCATATAGTTCATCATAACATCATAATTTATATCATACACACGCTATATTGCTAAATCTACCCGATTTTTCAAATCAACAGAAAAATATACCGGGATAACCTGGCATCTCTCGAGACTCCCCTGCTAGTTCGCTGTTAATGATATGCTAAAGCATGCCGGCACATTGACGTGATTGGTTACAAGGTAGTTTGTGACGTCAGAAACACCAGCCATTTCAAACTGTGTTTTTGAGACGGTCTCTTTAGTTCACTGCAGTTTTAAAGAGATACTCAGCAATGGTGTTGACTTATGAATGTGCACTTATCTTAAAGCACATTAAAAACACCATATGGACATAAAAACAACATTAAAAACTGGATTTTCACTACAGGGTGAAAAAAAGTTGTTAAAAGGGATAGTTCACTTTGAAATTAATTTTTGGTATGTTTTAGCTTACCTCAAGGGCATCCAAGATGTAGGTGTCTTTGTTTCCGCAGTAGTTTAAATTTTGATATTTTTAGGTCAAACCGTTCTTGTCTGTCAGTCATATAATGCAGGTCTATGGTCACCACCTCAAAGAGCATGCACAGAGAAGTCCAAATTAAACATGATTTACTGACTCGTAAATGTAAGTACACACTGATGGCCTAAGACACGAAACGAGCGGTTTGTGTGAGAAAACGAACAGTATTTATATCGTTTTTACCTCTTGTTGTAAACACAGCCACGTCCAAGTGATCTGAGGGCGCGGGCGCTTCGGTCTGCGAAAGCACCGTAAGTGATCTCTCTGAAAAAATTCAACGTTGTCTGTTGATATATTGAAATCGTCTTCCATTGCGATTTCCTTTATATCTAAATATGTTTAGATCTTCACAGTGAAAGGTAACACTTCCGAAATCTGTGTAAACAATGAGTGACGTACACGTGCGAGAGATCACTTCCGGCGCTTTCCGGTGCTTGCGCAGACCGAAGCGCCCGCGCCCTCAGATCACTTGGACGTGGCTGTGTACAAGAGGTAAAAACGATATAAATACTGTTCGTTTTCTCACACAAACCGCTCGTTTCGTGTCTTAGGCCATCAGTGTGTACTTACATTTATGAGTCATTAAATCATGTTTAATTTGGACTTCTCTGTGCATGCTCTTTGAGGGGGTGACCATAGACCTGCATTATATGACTGACAGACAAGAACGGTTTGACCTAAAAATATCAAAATTGAAACTACTGTGGAAACAAAGACACCTACATCTTGGATGCCCTTGAGGTAAGCTAAAACATACCAAAAATTAATTTCAAAGTGAACTATCCCTTTAAGTCATTAGTTAGATGCACGTTCATTTTTGGGTGAAGT